AAGGCAAGGGAAGTAAAAACAAAAATAAATCAATGGGACTACATCAAACTATAAAAAAAGCCCTGCACAGCAAAAGAAACCATCAACAAAACAAAAAGGCAACCAATCGAATGGGAGAAGATAATTGAAGACAACATATAGGATAGAGCCCTGGCTGGTTTGCTCCCTGGTTAGAGCATTGGCTTGAGGACCAAAGAGTTTCAGGTTCGGTTCCCATCAAGGACACGTACCTTGGTCCCCGCCCCTGGTCAGAGTCATATGGGAGGCAACCAGTTGATGTGTCTCTCTCACACCAATGACACATCAGTGTTTTTTTTCTCTCTCTCTCCCTCCCTCCCTCCATCGCTCCCTCTCTATCTGAAGATAAATGGAAAAATACCCTTGGGTGAGGATCTATAAACAAATTTATACAAACAGCAGACCAAATAGACATATTTCCAAGGAAGACATATAAATGGCTAATGGATACATAAAAATTTTTTTTCCAATATCACTAGCTATGAGAAAAATGCAAATCAAAACTATAATAAGGTACCACCTCATACCTGTTAGAATGGCTATTATTAATAATACAAGAAATAACAAGTGTTGGAGAGAATATAGAGAAAAGGGAACCCTCACATACTGCTGGAGGAAATGTAAATTTGTGCAGCCACTATAGAAAACAGTTTGGAGGTTTCTCAATCAATTAAGAATAGAGTTGCCATGTGACCCAGCAATTCCTCTTCTCTGTATCTACCTAAAAAGTTGAAAACACTTATTTGTAAAGATATATGTACTCCTATGTTCATTGCAGCATTATTTATAATAGTCAAAATATGGAAACAACCCAAGTGTCCTTGGCTGGATGATTAGATAAAGCAGATATGGTACTTATATACGGTGAAATACTACTCAGCCATAGAAAAGATAAAATGTTGCCATTTGTTGTCATGGATAGATCTTGAGAGTATTATGCTAAGGGAAATAAGTCAGATGGAAAAAATAAGAATTGTATGATTTCACTCATATGTGTGATATAAAACAAAAAACAACAAATGAACAATAAAAAAAAAACCCAAAATAATCTGATGTAAAGAAAGAAAAAGTGTTAATAAATACTTATATATAACTACATTTAATTATCCACTTTCATTAGAAATGACTGCTCGTTTTCAATAATCACAATAATAGCAATCATTTCTTCAATTCTAATAATTAAATTATATATTAAATTCAAGACTTTAAGTATTTGTCTAGTTCTTTAGAACTAGTTATCTATCTCAGAGTCTTTAAGTGTACAGACTTTGCTTTATTATTCTTTTACCTCCATTTCTGTAGAGCACAGCTTCTCAACTGGTGAAATTAGTGATGTCCCTCAAGATATCTGGTCTTCTCATCCTTTAGAAAGGCCTGTCAAGTTGCTTGATCCTGGGCTCCTGGGAAGAAGACCCAACCAGATTGTCAATCAGCCAATCATAATTAGTGACAACTAGCTCTCATTAGTCTGGCCTCATGGTAGGGGGCTTAATCAAGCTGAATGTCTATCACCTTAAAATCTGCCCCAGCAATTTTCTTCATGTCCTTTTCCATTATGGGAAAAGGATCTGTGGATCTGCTAGAGGAGTTCATGTTCTAAGTGCTTAATTAGCACACCATGCCCACCAAAATTTGGTCGTGGGAGAATAGACAATGAGAAAGACAGTCATGTACCTTTAGGTGTTGGCTCCAATATCATCAGTCTTTCCAATATCTTAAACAATCCATTGTGGCAAAGTAAGTGCATGGTAACATCTTTAAAAGGTATGTGTATTTTTTAATTTAGAATTTCAATATCAGTTGTAAAACTTGATATACAAAGTTTAGGTGGATTTTAAACCTATAGCTTCCTTTTATAACATTCCAAAGGTAAATTTGGTAAGAAAATAAAAGAAAGAGTTGCAATATTCAAAATCAAATCTTGCAAATGTTTTAATGGTTGTAACAGTTATTTCAAAATATTTATTCTTTATTTGTGCAATAGAGAATGTTTCATTGACAGCAGCTATCAAGAATTTGAAAAGATCTTTATTAAAATGCTTTGATTAGAAATGGTACATAGGCTTTCAAAGATAAAACTTGATTTGAGACAAAAAGTTATGTGGATGGAAGTATATTTATATTTCTCAATTTAAAGTAATCTATATTCCATTTTAATATACTGCTCCAAATATTATACTTTATTTTCTTACCAAAATTGTTTTATATAAAGAAAATGTAATGAATCTCTTTACCAAGCCCCATACAGATATCCCCAAATCTCCTCCAGTTTACTCCAGCGTGCTATAAATATTATTTTCTATGTTGGGAAGCACTGCTATAGGGAGATTTGCCTCTATAATATGTTGTGTTACTGAATATCTTCTAGTTTGATTACAGACTAATCAATTACAGATTTGTTTTAATATACAGTTACTATAACCCAAAGGCATCACGTAAGTCGGCACAACTGGAAAATGTCTAACCTAAGTTATTTCCTCACTTCTTCTCCAATGCCTCTTGAAAATCTTGGATTATTATTCTGAAGGGCTAACAATGTTCTTTTTCTTACCTCAATGGTTACACAGTGTTCACTTTGTGATAAATTACTGAGCACGTTGTACTTTTGTACACTCCAGTGTATATACTTTATTTCACAGTAACAAAGGGTTTAAATTTTTTTCTAAGACTAAAGAGATATGGTGATCTAAAGTAGTTTAACCTATTAAGTACATCAACCAAATGGTTATTCCAGGCTTGCATCGTGCTCCACTTAAGACAAACGTTTCACTAACGAGACCCTGGTCTATTGCCAACACTCTGCCAAACTGATTTTCCTTAACAGTAATAAGAAAGGGGCAAACTCTTCCTGCTGTATCCATACCTACCACTATTAAAAATTTGCCACAAGTTGCTTTTGCTTTGCTAGCACACAGCATCTGTCTACTGTGAAAATGAAATACCCTAGGGAGCTTGAGGGCACAATTCAGGCAGAGGGATGAAGGGAAAAGACAGTTCACCCAGCCATACTCACATATGTGAATTTACAGAGCAGACAGAGATATCATTCTGAGCCTATTCCACAACATTTCATGTGAAAGTTACTCACATTATTGTGATACACTTAACTGCTTCGCATGGCTCATTAACATTGGCATGTTTTTGTCAAGAAGCTTTCTATTTACATAAATTATCAATGTAGCCCAAATTTCTGCAAAAATAGAGGCAAATGAATAATTAGCTTTACTCAGCCTCATTCTCCATCAAGTGTAGTTTCATTTGCTTCCTGTAAAGGATAATTTTTGCTTCCTTTCTCCACAAGCTAACATGCCTTCTTCCTAATCTTATCCCTTTTTCTTTTTCTAAAATAGGCTGCGCCCCCCGGCGGCGGTTGGGAGTTTTTAAAAAGAAAAGAAAAAACCTTTCCCAGATGAGACTTGAGACCCTGCAATTTTACTTTTGGGCTGAGTCCAACACGTTCCCGTGAGCTCCATGTAAGTAGTCAGGAACATGAACCTAACCACATTTCTCCCCTGAGGTCAATTTCCTATGTTATATTTAAAAGAGGAGAAAGGCACAGGACAAAAGAAAAACAGCTTGGTTCCGGCCAGTTGCAGAAGGGCGGCAGTCCTGGGGCTCAGGACTGGCGTCTCGGACCACAAGCGCGTGTGGCGCTGTCCATTCCATGGTGCTGAATTCTACACACGGGGCTTTTCCCGTCAGGTTCAACCCTTCAGGATCTGAATGGGCTCCACCACGGCAGGCTAAACTTATTTCCGTGGGATGAGGGGTTCATTTAAACATTTGTTTATTCGCTTTCTACGAAAAACAAACAAACAAACATTCTTCCACAAAGAAACATTGTGCATTTTATAAGAAAGTAATGGCAGAGTTTTAGTTTTACACCAAAATGAGCTCTACTGAAGGAAAATGCCAAAGTTAGGAGTTAATGAAACCTGCTCTTTATCTCTCGAGTCAATACAACAGCACTTGGGCCCCTAGATATTGTAAAGTGGGTGGTACTGGGCTCTGCACTATCTGGATAGAAATTTAGATATTGTTTTACTGAGACTGAGAGACAGAGGAAGAAAAAAAGTAAACGTGTTAATTAAGATGGGTTGACTGTTTTAAAATACGTTTAAAAATGTTGCTCTGGCATTGTTTTCCAGACCTGCTAATTTTTTAAGGCAATTTAGATCAGACTCTGGGGAGTAACAGCTTTCCTCCTTCTACCCTCCCAGCCTCTGACCGACTGGAAAGATTTAAGAGCCCTGCTTGTTTATTTATTTATTTATTTATTTATTTATTTATTTATTTATGTTACAGATGTTTCTCCTTTTCCATTGACACCTTCCTCCCCCTCCCTCCCCGCCCTGTCCCCAGCTTTGTTGTCCATGTCCATTGGTTATGTGTACATGCATATAAGTTCGGTGGTTTATCTCCCCCCCACCCCCTCTTCTGCGTATTGTCAGTCTGTACCCTTCTTCCACGTCTCTGGGACTACCCTGTTCTTCAGACTGTTAGGTTCATTATATTCCACAAATAAGTGAGATCATGTGGTATTTGTCTTTCTCTGCTTAAAGAACCCTGCTCTTTATAGCAGGTGCTGACTGACATCCCCAGGGCCATTATAAAAATCCTTCTCTCTCCTTCCCCCACACATAAGAGATAATCAAATAAATATAAAGAAAACGGACAGAAGGGAGGGAAAGTGTGCTGCACTCCTAGCCTTTGGTTCTTGGTCCTTTGAGAAGTGAAGGTGTTTCTCACAGCTACAGAATTTATGGTCAGAAAGGGACAGAGTTAACTGATCCCAGCAAACGGTTCCTTCCTTTTCTTAATCCTTTGCTGCTTATTTTAGCCCCGTCTCCACCCCGACAGGAATACCATCCAGATCTTAGTCCAGGTAGATCTGACGTCAAGAGATGGCTTTCGTAGATTTGACGTGTAAACACTCATTTCCATTCCAGCTGGGAAGGGCTGGGGCTCCACTCAGCCGGGAGAGGAAAGAACTGCACTCAGCGCTCGCCACCGCCCTGCCTCTCCTGGAGTCATTCCGATCTCCTCGCAGAGCACCCGGGAGCGAGAAGTGGTCCAGAGCCAGAGGGTGGAAAGAGAAAATCATTCTGGCTTTTCTATCTTGCTTCTTTCCCCCTTCTGCTTCCCAGTTCTGTGCAAGCGAGTGTGTGAGCCATGGAGCGAAGAGCCTGGAGTCTACAGTGTACTGCTTTCGCTCTCTTTTGCGCTTGGTGTGCATTGAACAGTGTAAAAGCGAAGAGGCAGTTTGTGAACGAATGGGCGGCGGAGATCCCCGGGGGACCAGAGGCAGCCTCGGCCATAGCCCAGGAGCTGGGCTATGACCTTTTGGGTCAGGTAAGAGTTTGCACTTTCAAGAAACTTTCTGGGGCCCAAGGGGGCTGGCGGGACTGAAGCGCGATTTCCCAAGTGTGAGCTCCGGGTTGCACTCCCTGAGCCCTGTGGCAAAGAGCAGGAGCTTCTTCAGCTCCCGCTCCTGCGGGCTTGGAGAGCGAATACTTGCACTATTTATTGTTTGGGCTGGGCGCAGCCAGGCTAAACGAAGCCGCTGCTGCTGGGTAGAGCTTATTCTTGCTGTTGTCCGCTCTGGCATTGAAATCCGTTCCCGCACGATTTGAAGAAAAATCCCTCCACGCTTATTCACCAAACTTGAGATGCACACAGGCTCTTACCAACCAAGCGCCCGGGGAGAGGCGGTGCGCTCCGTCCCCTGGGACTCAGCCAGTCTGCGTCAGGAGCCGACTGTTTCCTTCTTTTCAATATGGCAGCACCAGACCCTCGTCCTGATGCAAGGGGCTAAAGAGGCTTGGAGGTGTCCACCAGAAGCCTTTGGGGGCTTGGCCAGGGCGTTGGAGAGCGCGCCTGCGGCCGGGACTAGGAACCCTGAGCCTGGGGGTCCGCGGGGTGGCCTGGGGAGCCGGCGGGAGAAGAGGTGGGCAAAAGACTTTGACTAACTCTTCACACCTGTACCGGGAGCCCCGGGATTTCTCCGGGAACTCGCGAAGTCCAAGCTTCACAACTTTGCTCGGTCAGCATCGCCCCAAGGGTCAAACTGTGCGGAAAGGATTTATTTTTTTCGAGTTCCTCCGCCAAATGCATAATAGCTTCCCTGGGGATTTCAGCTTGTGAGGGAAACTGCCTCCAAGTGAGGGCTGAGTTAATGGATAGATGGGGGTGGGGCAGGGGCTTTAAGGCATTGACAGGTGGGGGTTGGGTAGGGGTACGTAGGGCAATTTAGCTGTACAGTTCCGGGGGGAAATCAGGAGGTGTGAGTTCTAATCTAAATTTTCCTTTTCCTTGGTTTAGAATCAAACCCTCACCCCTTGCCTTGGAAGTTGAAGCGGGGGAGGAGGGAGTTGTAAAACATTTTGGCGCGTTTTTTTCTGGAGGTGGTGGTAGAGACGCGGCTGAAGTCACAGATGAGTAATCGGCGTGGGCGTTGGCTATACCATAGATCGAATCCTCAGGGGGAATACGCCTTCCGTTTGCCAGAAGTTTCATTCTCCAACTTTATGAGCCAAACTGTCTTTGAAATGCCCAGCAGGAAAGTCAGTACACAGATTGACTTCTCCGCGTCCCAGTAGCAGATCAAGATTTGAGCTTTTGCTCAGACATTATTCTGTGCCAGGCTCTGTGTTAGGGGCTGAAGACTAATAGAAGGAAAGGACTCTTAAAAAAAAAATCAAGAATGTAGAGGGGACTGCTTTAGAGACAAATAGTTGTAATTGCATGTAATTGGTGTAGTAAGAGCTGTGCACAGAGTCTCAATATTTTGTGATTGAAGGATTGGAGATGGAAGGGAATTAGGGAGGGGTGAGAGAAGACAGCACGAAGGAAGAAACACTTGCACTGCACTTAGGAAGAAGAGTCAAAGGTTGATAGGAGAAATCATGAGATTGGAGAAGGCACTCCACACATAGAAAACAGCTTGTGGGAGACAGGGAGATACAAAGAAAGCTGTTTAGTAATTTGGAAACTGCAAGGAATTGAGAGTATCTAAAGAGAGACCATGTGTTGAGTGGAATTATACTGGTGTGTACTGTGGGCATCATGGAACTCTTGTGTTTCATTCGGGGATGGGGGTTGGACTAAGGATTTAATCCTATAACCTTTGGACAGCTAAATAGCACTGGCAACTCCTGAAGAAGATTGTGGGAGAGAGTGAAAGATAATCCCTCTTCCTTTTCTCACCAAATAGCCCCAGGCCTATATCCAACCCTGGACCATTCATTATGGGAATTGCCCCAAAACTAAAAAAACCCAGTAAGTCAGTATTCTTGGTAGGATCTTCAAGGAAGGGATGACATAGCCACAAGCTTTAAAAAATAGTAGGAAAAACCATCTATATTTGCACATGATTTGCATATGCTGTATTTTCTCTAGCCATTTCCAGTTAAAGTGGCATTACTAACAAACATTTTTAAAATAACAATTATTTGTAAAAAACTAATAATGATTTTATGGTTCTGCTTATTTCTCCCTTTGTTCACACTAAGTTAGCATCCGGATAAAGCTAGGGTGGGGGGAGGGAGCTGTGACAAAAACCAGTTTGATAGCAGAAACACCTAAGCATTCATGATCCTTTTTTTAAGCTTCACCAGAGGATATGTTTGTATTGATTTTACAGTGAGAGGAAAGGAGAGGGAGAGAGAGAAGCATTGATGTGAAAGAGAAACATCAATCATTTGCCTCCCATATGCACCCTGACCAGGGAAATGGTATGTGCCCTGACTGGGAATTAAACCTGCAACCTCTCGGTACTGTATACAGGATGATGCTCCAACCTACTGAGCCACACTGGCCAGGCCTGGTGATCTTTTCTATAGTTACTATTTTTTTTTTCTCCCCATTCATTCTAGAGCTTATTAAAAGATTCACTCCCTGAGGTTCAGGCTTTGAGCAGGGCCTAGCATCTCTATTTAAAAATTCTCTAGGTAAAGAGAACCACCAATTTAAAGAATGCAATTCTTCTGAAATAATCCATTGTCAAATGTTTGCATCTTATTTTTAAAAGAAATACAGGGCATCTAGAGAATTTGGTAGCTTCAAATTAAGTACTATTTTAAATAAAGGGACACTAGCTTAAAAGAATATAATAAACATAGTTCTAAATGGACCAAAGATGTTGATAGTCACCCAGGGAAATTTATACCTGCCCTAAATGTGGCATGCTGGCCTTCCCCCCCAACCCTAACCTAGTGAAAAGTCTAATGGTCACTACTAATAGCTTATAACAATTATCACTGTGGATTCAATGGTTATATTTTAAATCTTTTTTTTTTTTTTATCCTCAGCTGAGGACATTTTTTTGTTTGTTTTTTGTTCAGATAGAGTGGGAGGGAGAGAGAGGAAGAAAGAGAGAGAGAGAAACATCGACATGAAAGGGACACATCGAGTGGTTGCCACCTGCACAACCCAACCAGGGCCAGGGACAAAGTGCAGCTAAGATACATGCCCTTAGCGGGAAAGAACCCGGGTCTCTCTGGACCGCAGGCCAACGCTCCAACCGCTCAGCCAAACCGGCCAGGGCTCAATGGTTATATTTCAAAACAAGTTGTTTAGCTGAACTTCATATGGATCAAAGGGTTTATTTGCTTTTCATAAATTATTGTTCTCTGAAAGAATGAAATTCATAAAATGGGTTTTTAAAAAAGAAATGCCTACCCACACAATATTGTCACATAGAAAAACAAATGGAGTTCCTGCCAAGTATAGTGGGAGCCCAAGTGATGATTTCATGAGGCTCATCGCACTCAACACACAAAGAGAGGGATGGCTTCTATCAGTATCTTCCTTGTGAAGAAAAAGATTAACTTCAAGTATAAGGAATGGGCTTAATAGAAGCTGTCTCTAAGTTTGTTGGGTTTCAATCTAATACATACATATTTATTTTGGAAAGTGGATTTTAATTTTAATCTTTTTCTTTTATAGATCGGATCACTCGAAAATCATTACTTATTCAGACATAAAAACCATCCCCGAAGGTCTCGAAGGAGTGCCCTTCATATCACTAAGAGATTATCTGATGATGCCCGTGTAAGTGTTGTGCATTTGTCTTCAAATCAACCTGACTTGTCTGCTTTCTTTATGGTTGCCCATAAGAGCAAAAGCACTTTGCAAATAGGATTCTTCTTTGTTGTGATCACAGTTATTCATCACTAGTGTTTCTTATTATTTCCATAGGATTATAATTGTACATAATAACTGGATTGAATGGAATTAACTAACTACACACACACACACACACACACACACACACACGTAATACTAGCTCACAAATCCAGTCTGATGGCATGAAAGTAAATATTGAAAATAAAGTGGCAGCACTAATTAAAATGTTTGACAATACAATCAATCAACAACCTTTTATTTTATGTCTGTTATGTACCAAGCACTTCAATTTCTGATGTGGGGATGCCAAAGAAATATAATATATGAACCTTGCTTTTAATAACATTTTATGTAATTGAAAATTACATTCTGCCATTTCTGTTTAGTTTGGTTGTATAGGAAACTAGTGTTTATGAGGGAGCTTTAAATCCTTTTCTTTACAATTAAATGTTTTCATAAGTATTATATTGTTTGATTCAAAACATTTTATCTCTTTTATCCTGGTTTGAATACTTATTCAGTGATTAGGCAACAGCAGAAATATCGAGAATGAATATAGGTAAATAGTGTGGGGACAATTCGAATGTATGTATGATATACCTATTAATTTTTTAAGTCAGTTTTAAGGTCAGCAAACATATCAATAGAAATGTTGATTATATTGGGAGTATTGCAGTTTGCATACATAATGTTGCCTTTTCTCGAAAATGTGCAACTGATGAAAATTTATACTGGCTGGCCGGTTATCTGTATACATGATTTTTGTTGACTAGAACAATCTAGAGAATTCTAGAAGCTTTGTGAGAGATAGAACACATTTTTTCAATTTCTCAGAAAGAAAAGTATAAGTGAAAGAAAGGTGATAGAACTGTTGAAAGTACATGGAATTCATAAATCCTGTGAAATAATTTGCTATTTCATTTGCTATGCAACTAATAGAATTTTTTTTTTTTTTTTTGGTACATGCCCCTAGCAGGAACCAAACCCAGGACTCTCTGGTCCAAAGGCCGACGCTCCAACTGCTGAGCCAAACCGGTCAGGGTAGAATTTTAAAAAGAGAATAAGACAACTCTGGTCAGGTGGTTCCGTTCGCTGGAGCAACCTTCCATGTGCCAAAGGGCTGTGGGTTTGATTTCCCATCAGGGCACGTACCAGAGACTGCAGATTGATTTCTCACATCAGTGTCTCTCTCTCCCTCCTTTTCTTTATAATCTCCCCCAACCCCCTCTCACACACACAAAATATCAATAAAAAATATCCTTGGTTGAGTATTTAAAAAAAAAATTTAAAGAATAAGACAGATTATGAGGGTAGGGAATGATTGGATCTGGGTAACTACTGTTTCAATGTATAAAAGCAACCACACCACACAGTGAATGCTATCTCAGGACCACAGACAGTGACCCGCAGCTCTTTTGTGCCTGTGGCTTGCTTTTCCTCAAGAAAATGTCTAGATTTGGGAGACCAAGACATAGGCCCTGAACACTACTTTAAAAGATATTTTTCCAGTGAAGACTTCCTGCACCATCCCAAGACAGATGGATTATTATCTGTGGGCTCTGAAATGTAGACAACTTTCAGGACTCTGGCTAGGCTTTGTCCTTGGGCAAAACAAGAGAGAGATTTCCTTGTTTACTAAAGGCATGCCTGACATTAATGCAGAGGAAATCCAACTGACCTCCCTTCTCATCTTCATAGGAGAAAACTGGACAGAGTGAAACATACCTAACTGTTGTTACTACTTAAAGTAATCTCACTAAAATGAACAGCTACTCAGTTCCATTCTTTAGAGATTTCCTTAATAGTTTATTTGGGGGAGAAATCTTAAGGAATAATGAAGAAGAGCTAAGAATTTACTCTCTAACATAACTTCATAAGAAAAGAAGTCTCTATGATGCTATAAAATTATCTCCAGAATAATTTAATTGTAGGAAAAATCCTAGAACCCATAGAAACTTGAGTGGAAGGTTGGACTAAGTGATCTTTAATGCTCTTTCCAAATCAAAAGCATTATTTACAAAATTAAGTGCATGATACCTATTATATACATAATAGTAAGGTACCACCAATTTGTTCTGTTCTATTGGTCTGCTCTTGTACAGATTAATTTGGGATTTGCAGCCAATGACACTGATCATAACAGTTTCCAACAACTGGATGCTTATGTGATCAGATGGCAGAGTGCCTCTTCTTATATTCCATTTTTTAAAAATTGCTTTTGATTGTCATTTTATTGCCTTTTTTTATGGGGAATAATAGCCTTTCAAATTAGCCCTCTGAAATGCAGCAATACTCTATTTTTATAAGACTGTTAATGAAATCTCCAACTGTAAGTTAATCTTTTCCTCAAAAATTAGTTCTTGTTCCCTAGCAGCCAGCTTTCAAAGACTAACTCAGATGCAGGCAGTGTATTCCAAGCACTGGGTATTTTAAGCCAAAACAATTAAGCTTGAAAATCCAGGCACTTTAAAAATAAATTATAGTGACTAATTTCTAGCTCTCAAGTCCTTCCAATATTTATAATATATTTGCTATATATTTTTTAATTGAACATTCAGTCTTAGTGGATGGTTTTATCCTTTAGATACAAATTATTTTTCAGTTTTTATTTTTGGATCTGACTCATAAGTATCCTCACGTTAACAATATCCCACCACACACTAAACTATCATCATGTGTACAACAGAGGGTATATGTTTTGGGTAGGAAACAGCCATGTTGACAGCGAAATAAGAGCAGGGCACTATCTCGTCATGAATATAACCACAAGGCAGCCCCTCACCCTCTCAGGACCTCAAGTATAATCTGATTATGCCATAAATGTGGGGCAGGTAATTTTTGTACTGTCAGACCTCTTTGCATACATAATACATGAGACTAAATTAATGGTAAGTGTGCATGGTCAGTAGTGCTCATCCATCACCCTGGATCTTTTTCTTATATTAAATACTCATAAGCAGGAGGTTGAAGCACGGGGGAGCCAGAGTTTCAGATTTGCAAAGACATAGCACCTTTCTTGTCTTGTGTAACATTGGCAGTCTCTACCTTTTGTGTGTAAAGACAGAGAAATTAAGCAGCAAGGCATGATAAAAATGGTCTCTTGTTGACTTATGCCATGAACATGGACAAAATTTTCAGCTACGGAGCCCTGGAACCTCAATATATATATAAAAAAAGGGTATTATGGTCCATTTGCTGATGAAAGCAGGCTGAACTTTTACTTCCACTGTAATCACAGTGTAAATAATGTGAGGCAATCATCATTTCACTGACTCCTTCTCCTCCCCCTAAATGTACACTTTACTGTAATAGAGGAAATGTTCATCTCCCCAGGGGGCAAATCCTTCTTGCTGAGCTGCCAGTTTGATCTGTAGTTAAACAAAAACACTTTGGGGCTGCCTAAACTCTGGTGGGAAGGGTACAGGAGCTAGTCAGAGGAAAGATGATGGTGGCTATTTGACTGTTGATTTTCTTGCTGTAAAACCCCTTGTAGGTGATATGGGCTGAACAACAGTATGAAAAGGAGAGAACTAAGCGTTCAGTTCTAAGAGACTCAGCAGTAAATCTCTTCAACGATCCGATGTGGAGTCAGCAGTGGTACTTGGTAAGTACCTACAGAAGAACTGTGTGGGACCCTGGTTATTTATTGTGTTACATCTGCACAATAGGTTCTTTTTTTTTTTTTTTCTTAATGATGGAGATTCAGCAGAGGGCTATGTTACTTGGAGATTAGGGTTGAGGGGACCTTCCATGGTCTGCTCTTTGTTTCACTAGGTGAAAGTGTCTGAAACACAGACCTTCAGCTGCTATGAGGGGGTAGGGATTGTTGCCTTCTTGTCTTCTTAAGTTTACCTGGAGTACGTGCAGAAGAATCACGTCTTGGAAGCTAGGGGCTCTAAAACAGTATTCATGGCAAAAATCACATTTGGTTAAAGTTACTCTTGAGAACCCTTTATATCACTCAAAGAATACAGTAAACACGATTCAGTATATAAACCTCTTAGTGGCAATTCTTACATGCTTACAGGTGAGAATTTCTGAACAAGGCTAAGGGAAAGATTACAAGGCAAGACAAAAGATACCTATTTACAGATTTCCAGACCTGCAAACCATTCTACCTGGAAGATAGTTACCAAATCCTCACTGGTGTGTGGGTGTTGAGTGGAGAAACGAAGAGTTCCTGCTGGCCTGCACAGCGTTCTCTCTTGTTTCAATACAAGCCTCTACAGTAGTAATATACATTAATAGAAGTTTTTATTAAGAATATCATAAAAGATAAATTTTGATGACGGCCATAAGCTAAGGTTGAGACATTTCTGTTGCATAATGGGCGGAACAGCGGATCTGTTCCTTTGGACTCTCTCTTAACCTGAGCATTACTTGCTCCCTGCAGCAGAGGCTCATTAGCTAACAGTTGTGCACTTGCTAAGTGCCAGCTACTATTCTAAGTGTTTGACATGAATTAGCTCATTTAATTCTTACAACATTATCTTGTAGATATAGAAGTTATGCTCATTTAACAGATGAAGAAACAGAGACATTGGAAAGCTGAATAACTTGCCAAAATCACATGGTTACTGGGGGGTGGGGGGGTCATAATTCAGAGCTCCAGAAGCTCATGCATAACAACCACATTCTGTGATCGTTTTTGTGACTGACATAGAGGCCTTCTTCTCTGGCTTTAGGCGACAATGTGAGCATAGTTCCAGCCTCCTGTAATTCATTGACATTGGTTAGTAAGGTCTTGTTTTCCCCCATCTCTTTCTGAGGAACGTCAGCCAGGGGACAGTCCGTTCATTGACACCTTTGATTGTTGTTATTTACAAATTTCTCATTGACCCTTCGCCAGAAACCTGGAATTCTTCTAGTGAAGCTCTCTCAAATGCTTGGGACTGTGCTCAGAGCTGTGTTCCCTTGCTGTCCAGCTCTTCTCTCCTACAGCCCCACACATTGTAACTATCAGAAATGCTTTCTGGCCCTGGCTCAGTGGTTAGAGCATCCACCTGCGGACCAGAGAGTCCCGGGTTTGGTTCCCGCTAAGGGCACGTACCTCAATTTCAGTTTGTCCCCAGCCCTGATTGGGGTCGTGTGGGTGGCAACCAGTCGATGTGTCTCTCTCACAGTGATGTTTCTCTCTCTCTCTTCCTCCCGCTCTATCTGAAAATTAATGCAAAAAGTCCTTGGGTGAGGATAAAAAAAAAAAAAGAAATGCTATCTGAAAAAAGAAAACCCCAAATCTCTTCTCACAGATACTTGCTCCCTAAATCACTCATATTTGTAAATAGGCAATTAAGTTGCAAGTCCCAGTGAGACCACAGTGTCCTGGGCATTCCAAGTTCTGCTTTTCTTTTTAGAAAAGGTACTTAAAAATCCACAAATGACTGTGAACTAGACAATATAAAGTAGGTTAATTGTGGCGATAGAAGCTTAGGCTTTGCGGGGGATGGAAACGTAGAAGAGCAAGTAAAGCTTAGGTAGATGAAAAGCAGGAGCATGCCATAAATGGAAGAAACATAGGGACAAACTTCTTTGAAGCCATGTAGCTCAAAGAGAAGGAGCACAGGATGAATCACCGTTCGAAGTGATTTTCCATTGGAACCATTGGGAAGACCAGCACCCTGATGATTCACCTGGCCCTACCCTCAACTTCGTTTTATATTTCACCTAATTGCCTTCTTCTAAGGAGGAGAGTGATCCCAAGGAAAACAAAGATGGGTCTCTGGACTGTGGCTTTAGTTTTCATTTTGCAGCAAGCAAATTATGCTTTTACCAATGCTTCTTTGTTTGTCTTTACCAGCAAGATACTAGGATGACTGCATCCCTGCCCAAGCTGGATCTCCATGTGATACCTGTCTGGCAAAAGGGCATCACTGGCAAAGGAGTGGTTATCACTGTACTGGATGATGGTTTGGAGTGGAATCACACAGACATCTATGCCAATTATGTGAGTCCGGGCACTCCCCTGACTTGAAACTCAGGGAGCTGTCTACATGGACACGTGATTAGGGCTTTTCTTTCCTCAAGCAAGAGGCTGCTTGGGTTTGGCCCAGGGAATGATGGGCAAAGGTCTTGCCACCTCTGTCACCCCCCCTGCTAATTCGCTCCATGTGAAGTTAGTGAATAAGGGAGTACTGAGAGAATTTAGCAGAGCCAAGGACTGTGCATTGCACCGGGGGTGGGAAAGGTAGCTACACCAACTAAATCATGAAAAGCCATCCCAATTCTGTGCACTCGGCATTGGCAGCATTAAAGCAATCGAATAGCCTGATGCCTGAGACCGTTCCACAGTCTTCCTCCTCGCCTCCCCCATGGGCCAGTATCTCTCACATTGTGAAGTTATGTGAATGTGATTCCTTACATACATGCAGATTCACAGTATGCCATGCAGTGCAAAAAGGACAAGCTGAGAAAAACAAAGATTAGCAATGGAAAATACATGAAAAGTATTTACTCAATCGTTTCTGAAGCCCTCCACAATAGCTTAGGCCTTTATTTAGATCAGTCTTTCATCTCTAACACTGTCCCTTGTCTTTCTCCCATCCTTTCCACTCATCCGCATTCTGCAGCTAAAGAGCAAAGGGAATGGGAAGGAAAAGAAGAGATAAAGATTAGTGGGAAGTAGGAATTATTAAAAGATATGGAAAACAGGTAGAAGTGGCAGTAGTGGGGAGAGAATTCCGTTGTGGGAGGTGTTAAGTGTAGCAGTATAGTTGGGAAAAGAGATGAGAGCTGGACGCTTGACCTGAGTTGCAAGAACGCTCTCTTTAATTAAATTACATATTTGTTTCATGTGCCTGGGGAAGCTAAGAGATCACTGTGGACCGGAGCCACCTCTTTGCAACTATATTCATAAGAGAGATGAGTGTCAAGGCGTTGCTAACTCGCTCTATAGCTTAGTTAGGTCATTCAACTTCTCTGGGCCTCAGTTTTCTCACTCAAAAAATTAGGTGGTTGAGTTAACTAAACTGATTCCTTCTGGATTTAGTATCCCATGAGCTCCTATGAGCTATCAGTTTGGTAATATTCACTGAAAATTGGATGCTGGCTCACTTTTCTGTCTCTGCCTGCGTTGTGGGTATAAGAAATGATCAGCCACTGGGCCAGAAACTGAAATGCAGACTCTCCAGCTGTCCGTCAGGATGGAAATGGGGTAGGGGTAGAAGGCTTGGGCAATGCTGTGTCATTTTTTATGATGCTACTGTGTTATTTTTGTTGTCTCGTTAGGATCCAGAGGCTAGCTATGATTTCAATGATAACGACCATGATCCGTTTCCCCGATATGATCCCACCAATGAGAACAAGTGAGTAAATGTGGATGGGGGTGGGGTGGTACTTTAAAATGCACTAAGCTTATTTGAGCTCTCAGAAATGTCCATGCACACCATACATACCACACTATTTTGTTGCTTTTAAAACGGAAACACAAACTTCTCTTTTCATATTCCTTTTGGCTCATAGAGCCATACTTCAATAAAACGTCCTTCTTATATTATAAAATACTCGCCTCAAATGTTACTGAATAGTTACAGCTTTAGAAAGAATGCTTGAGGCATAAAGAGTAAAAAACGTTCAGCCCACCCCCCTCCCCTGCACCCTATTCCTCTATTAATCTTCTACTATTAGCAACATGCTTGATGTTAGTCATGAAAAGAAATATGGATGCCCAAAGTAGTAAATCCCCACAACTTCCTATGGAGGTCACAACCATGCTTATCAGTTCCTTCAAAAGAGCATGGCCAGACACCAGAAAAGAGGCTCCTAAATTAACTCTCCATAGCAGCCACAGGGTGATAACGAAGGCCTGGAGCCAGACCTGCCAAAGCAAGAAGCCAAATAAAGATCTAAAGACAAGAGACAGTTTAACCTTTCCTAACCCTAAAGTTTCTGTGTCCATGTGTGAACTCATCTTTGTGCATAATGATATATCTCATAGACTTCAAGGAGACATTCACACTTTCCGCCTTATTTGTCCTACTTAGAAGAGACACCAAAACAGATAAAAGCCAAGGCAAAATTATGGCTTGCTGCTACAAGTGGGAATGGAAAGAGTAAGCCACAAAAAGCTTTGTGGACGCCATGCAAAGTGCTTCCCTCTTTTTGTATGCCTTTCTGTTTCTTGGACGATTACCCAACTCAGGTCGATCAAGTTCTCTCTCCCTCTCTCCTTCTGTCACTCACTTTGATTTTCCTTCTCCTTTATTCCCTCTCCCTTATCCTCTCTTTCTTCCTTATTCTCTCTCAGAATTCCCCTGTGGCTGATACAGTAATTGTGACCTAAAGTTGTTTCTTTGGATGGTTCCCCATCCAGAAGGCCAACAAAACCCAGGAAGGGAGGCTGGGACTCATGGATTTGGCTTCAACTTCTGGGTGTATGTTTCTTCCTTGGGAAGCAGAGGGGGCTTGGGGAAGGCTCCAAGATACTGCTTTATTCAGTATCATTTACTTCTTCTAGGGTTTATTTCTTTTCTTTTTTAAAAAAATTGATGTTTTAAAGAGAGAGGAAGGGAGAAAAAGATAGAATCATTGATGTGAGAAAGATACACGGATCAGTTGCCTCCTGCATGTCCCCCACTGGGCATATTCCCTGACCAGGAATTGAACCAGGACCTCTCAGTCCATAGGATGACTCAGTCTGTGGGATGACACTCAATGCACTGAGCCACACCGGCCAGGCTAGGATTTGTTTCTTAAAGGGGTTAACTGCAACCACCCACTAGATGTTAGTACATCTCAGTAACAATATAACAGGAACTGTGAGGGAGTGCCCTTTGAGGAAAGTGGGAAGTCTCAGGGACTTACAGCACGGTTCCCGGATCAATTTTCAGCTATTTTCTGAGTCAGAGTCGTGAAGGGCCAGGAGGAACATCTGCTCTTCTGGAGCACAAGCTTGTGATGTTAGCCGGGCTGATAGTCACAGCTTGGCTGATTACCAGTATAGAGAGTGACACGAGGCCATCACCTCTCTGCCTGTTTTTATTTTGTCTCCTAAAGTGACTGGAAAAGAATCTGCTCCCTACTCTCCTGAAAGGAACTTCATAAGGAAATGAGTGCTTGGAAGAAAGGGGGACCCTTCTTGTAATTTATCTCACCACCTTGGTCAAGCCTAAGAGAAAACATGCTGGCAGCCACATGGGTGTAGCAGAGGAGGCTGCTGGCTAGAGGGGGCAGCCTCCTTCTTCGGCAGTGTACCCTGGGCCTGGCCCCAGGAGCCATCGTGGGTGATGGCTGCATGGTAGGCGAATACTTGGTGAAATGTATTCTCTAGAGTCTCTCTACTCATGAGAAGAGGGACTCAGATTTCCCTCTCTCCTTCCCCCAAATGGGCAAATCTCACATCACAGCATTTATAATAAATGCAGTATTTATAATAGAATTCTTCCAACTCACAGAGCTCCAAAGGCTTCTAAGTAAGCAGACCATATAACTGTACTTTTTTTGTGCCTGAAAACTCTGAGCTACAGAGCATAGCCCTCTGTGGATCGTGTGCATGGTGCAGAGTTAGTGTGGAGTAGATCTTGAGTACTTAAGTGACCTTGAGTAAATTACTTAACTTCTTTGTGCCTCAGTTGTATCATCTATTAAAAAGTGATAACACTAGTATCTACTTCATTGGGTTATTATGGGGACTAAATGAGTTTATATATGTAATTGGCTTGGATAGTGCCTGCTACATAAAAAAAGTTAAGTGTTTGCTACAATGATGATGATGATGATGATCAAGGTTTCTCATTTAACAGCTAAGGTAGACCTCATATTAGTGAGAAATCCGCATGACAAGAACACTGTCACGTGATGGGAGAAAGCAGAGACAAGTCGATTTTCTGAGTCAGTTCAGAGTCTGCTATTTGAAAATTATACAGTAAGCAACTATCTCTCAGGGCCCTCTTGACTATCAACCAAAAGGTAGCATCCTCATCCTTTATCAAAAGGTATTATAAGAAATAGAGTTATCCTTCAAGCATGTTGTCAGAAATAAGACCTTAGGTTTGGAAAATGAATGGCCCCATTTTATCTTGGCCTTATAACAGTTAGAGATCTATTATCTCCCCATTCCAGGGCATTATGGCTCCAAACTGCCTGTGTTGCTGCTGTTCTTTATTACTATGTAAATGAGGTTAATGGAAGCTGCATTTGAATTCTCCTCTGCAAATCAAATGAGGAATCACTAAATAATAGAATCTTAAAAGTGCAGGTAACTCTTTCTGTTAAGCTGGCATGAATCTGTGTTCACAATTTCAATACCAATTACACATTATTTTTCTAGTTAAATAACATGTGTGACAAGGATATTTTAACCAGTATAATAGTAGTCTTTAAACTATCTTGTGGAATAATTTTCTAAAAATTGATTTATTTAAATGCCAGTTAATACTATTGTTCTAAGATAATAGAGGGTTACTTTACCTCAGAGCCTGATTTAAGGGAACGAGTAAAAGCTACAGGTCTATAAATAAAGATGTAGAACCACTTTGATAGTCTTCCTTCTTTCTCAAGGTATGGAGGTGGGAACTGAGGATAAGAGGGGAAATATATTCCAAGCCGTATTTGTAGCATGATTCTGCTGCACCTTTCAAGAAAATAGTCATCAGTATGTAAGAAGAGATAAATTCTAGGTCATGTCACATTGCACCATTTTTAGGACAGAGGTACAATACAATGCTAGGGATGTTTTCCAATAGGTTGATTCTGTTGGCTCAGGCTAGAGATTTTGCTATCCTGGGCCCTGACTCCCATACTATGCAAATGTCAATAAAAATATAGGCAGGGTGACTTTTGGGAAAACATTTCCCGGAGGATGGCAACTGAATCTCTCCTTCTAGAAAGGCAAAGAGGGCTAATCCATCAAAAAGATGCTTTCTATGTATTCAGTGTGATTCCATTTTCGTAAAAAATAGGTGTGAGGGTCAGGATAGTTTCAGTTGCAAGTGAGAGGAACCTAACTCAAAGATTAAGTAAGCCCTGGCCGGTTTGGCTCAGCGGTTAGAGCATCAGCCCATGGACTGGAGAGTCCCGGGTTCAGTTCCCGCTAAGGGCATGTACCTCGGTTGCAGTTTGTCCCCGGCCCTGGTTGGGGTTGTGTGGGTGGCAACCAGTCGATGTGTCTCTCTCACATTGATGTTTCTCTTTCTTCCTCCCTCTCTCCCTCTCTCTCTATCTGAAGATAAATGCAAAAATGTCCTTGGATCCTTGGATGAGGATAAAAAAACAAACAAACAAAAAAACATGCTAAAAAAAAAAGATTAAGTAATATGGGGATTTCAAAAAGATTTCACTCAAGGGATGCTCTAGCTTCAAGCATTGCAAGATCCAGGAGCTCAAGTCATATGCCGTCGAGACACCAAACACTCTGTCACCATCTCCTAGTGCTGCTCACCTAACTCAGTCTCATTCTTAAGAGAATCTTGACTGGCAGCAAGATCCACGTGGCTCGGATGGAACTTAAAGCTGACGATTCTGGAGAAATAACATAAATCTCTTCCCCAGAATCTGCACTAATCTTTGAAAGCCACCCCGGAGAAGGAGTCTCATGAGAGAGAGAATCACAAACAGTAAGGGAGGCCCACTTCCCAGAAGGAAGAAATTCTAGGAGACAAAAAGAAGCAGATGTCTGCTGCCCTAGGAAAGACCTTGAATTAAAGATAATTATATTGTTCTGACTCAGGATTCCTGGCCAGTATTTGGAAGAAGCAGGAATATCATTTAGTGGGAAATCATCTTTGGTACTTTAGGAAAAGGAGAGAAGTGAAACAAAATTATTTTGGATGACCCAGTTCACTTTGGATTTTTATATTCCTTCCCCAACTAAATTAATAGATGTCTAGTGTGATAGGTTCTAAAAGTAGCTGGCTGACAGTTTCTCAGCGCTGACTAGCCCTTCTTCCCTTTTCCTCTACGTCAGCATATCTGGTCAGCAGCTCCTCCAAGGCACCAGACAGCCTTCACAATGCTCCCAGGTGCTTGCATAATGGAATGCAGTCATAAAATAAACACATTTACATGAACGTTTTCTTGATTTACAGGCCCTCCTGAGATCAGGGTAGTGGTGGGAAAAGACAACTGTTATCTCCAGAATTTCAGAATTGATACTTGGATGGTGCGCTTTGGTCTGTTTTATTTTTATTTTTTTAAGATTTTAAAAATTGATTTTTAAAAAGAGAGGGAGGGAGAGAGAAAGGGAAACATCGATGTGAGCAGAGCACACCCCCTACCTAGGACTGAGCCCGCAACCTGAGTATGTACCCTGACTGGGAATTGAACCAGCAACACTTTGGTGCACAGTATGATGCCCAACCAGCTGAGCCATACTGGCCAGGGCAGGCTCTGGTCTATTTTAGAGATGGATTTTTTTCTTCCAAATACTCTGAAATCATGAATTACCCCTTTGCCTGATTGCAAATCCAATCTTGTTCAGGCCTCTGGTTCTATTCAGAGTTGCAAAAGCATTCTGGTTTTCTAGTGAGCCTTTAAGTGTCTTCTTAAAACCTCAGAGTCCTCTTGGTACCAGAAAACACTCAGATGTTTTAGTCTGGTGTATGGTTAGAGGAGAGGAGGATGTCTTGGGAGGGGACTGTTCTATCACATCCTACTAGGGCTGGTTCAGGATGACCTAATCCAAGCAAGTGCCTAGGAGGGAAAGTGAGAAGCCACTTTACTACCAGAACGTATGGAGCAGAAGCCATTTATTTGGAAACACTTTTTGAAAGAGTCAGAGTTGCTCATAATATTATCCGTAGCTAACACTGGGTTCTCACTATAAACCAATCACTATTCTAAGTACTCTATACACAGTACTCTCATGTGATCTAACAACTCTTCAAGGACATTTACCCACAGTCATACCACTAGTTAGTGGCAGAAGCTAGAATTTGGACGCATATATTCTGGCTTCTGTACCTATGCCCTTCATATGATACCTGCACTTCATTTAATGCTGATGGGAAGAAACCAGCAAAATGGCAGACAAAATGCCAATATATCCATGTTCCATAGATTCATGTGCAGAACAAATGTTTGTCTACATTTATGTTTTATAATTCCTATTTTTTGATCCTCAGACACGGGACCAGATGTGCAGGAGAAATTGCCATGCAAGCAAATAACAACAAGTGTGGGGTCGGAATTGCATTTAATTCCCAAGTCGGAGGTAAAGCAGAGGACTTCTCCTGTAGTTTTGTGCTTTTAATTTGAACTTTGCATCACCTTGTATAAATGAGGCAGGGAGGGGGCCTTTCAACAACCAGAAGAAGAAACGGACTCCATGCAAAATGTGCTGTAGGACTTGAGTGTGATTTGCAAATGAATCAATAAGTCTGGATTCCTAGAAAATGATAGCTGAATATAAGCCATACATATGGGGGTGTAGGGGATGGAAATGTTGAATAGCTTTTATCAATTTTTTTTAGGGTGAGAGAGAGAGAGAAACATTGATGTGAGAGTGAAACACCTATCAGCTGCCTCCTGCACACCCCCCTGGGGTCAAGCCTGCAACCCAAGCACATGTCTTGACTGGGAATTGAACTGGCAACTTTTAAGTGCATGGGATAATGCTCAACCAACTGAGCCACACTGACCAGACTTAAATAGCTTTTAAACCAAATCTAAGTTTCTCTGTGTTCTGATTTAGAAGGGTTTGTTATTGAGTGTTTGCTCAGGGAACAGAAGGAGGAGGTAAATTTAGATAAAGAATTTCCCTGCCTCTCAGTTCTGCAGTTCTTCATTTCATAGCAAAGAACAGGTTTTTTTTTTTTTTTTTTTAAATAAAAAGAACACATACTTGTTAAATTAAGAGGCCAAAGTTTATCTTCAATAGCAAGAATTTAGAATTTCTAGTTGTTTCAGTCAGTGTCTTTATGGGGAAACATATGGTAAGTTCCGTCAGGGCGATTAAATAAAGGAACTGTTTACAAGAGTTAAAAGGAAACCAACAAGGGCTAACAAATGTGGGCAGATGTTACTACCTTTAGGCTGAAAGGAGCAAGAGGAAGGAGTCAGTGGAAACTGGAGAGAGAAAGCTGTGGCCATAGGAAAGCATCACTGGACAGGAGCCGAGCCTTGAGCATAGCAACCGAGCTATTTGTAGGCAAGAAGGGTTCAGGAGAATGAGCACCTGGCTCTGCCCTCATCCAGCCTCCTGCTGCTGTCCTCAGCTGGCTGAACCCAGTGGGAAGACAAGAGAACCCACTGATGCGGCTCCTGTGGAGAAGGGGGTGGAGACTGGATCTGCAAGGGCTCACAGACTGCATTCCATTTTAGAAATCAAATAAATAGTCTATCCTGGTGTATGTAATTCCTCCCTCACGAGTACAACACGCTCTTAGATTTTTGTCATTCCTAATTACTTTGATACCAGCATCATCAAAGTATTAGCATCATCAAAGTGCCATGCTAATTTAATGAAAATGAAGAAAGAAGTACAAATTATGTAATCACCTAGAAAAAGAATTTGCTTTTTAAGTCATAATGAACTGAGCAGCTATAGCTTATGAGAGAATCATCTGATCCCTTTATTTTATTTTTTAATCCTCACCCAAGGATATTTTTCCATTTTTGTTCGGATAGAGAGGGAGAGAGAGAGGGAGAAAGAGAGAAACATCAACATGAGAGGAACACATCGACTGGTTGCTTCCCGCACGACCCCCACCAGGGCCGGGGACAAACTGAAACAAGGTACGTGCCCTTGACCAAATCAAACCTGTGACTCATAGGTCTGAGGGCTGACGCTCTAACCGCTGAGCCGAACCATCCAAGGCAGATCCGTTTATTTTATAAAGGAGGAGACAGAAGTGAAAGTCTCGAGGAACAAGTTTGTGGAACTAAAACAGACGCCTTCTTCCAAGACTGCTGACTTCTTTCCTGCTCCAGCCTTTGACAGTCTAGCCCCAAGTGCATTTTTATATAATAAAAATCTTTAAGCACCTACTGTATGTCCATCCCTTGTCCTACGACACATTATAGACATTGTATCTTGGAAGTTAACAGGATATATTTGGGTACCAGATTTCTGGGATTCAAGTCCTGGCTTCCCAATTACAATCTGTGTGGCCTTGGGCAAGTTGCTGTCCATCTCTGGCTTCAGTCTCTCCATTTCTAAAATGGGGTGATTTATAGGACCCACCTCAAATGATTGTCGTAAGGATAAATGAGTTCGTAAGTTTAAGGCCTGAAGAATGGTAGCTGCTTATAGTATATCCTTTATGCATGTGAGCTTTATAGTTGAAAAAACTGAAACACAGAGAAGTTAAGTGACGTCCCCCAAATCACACACCTAGTAAATAGAAGAGCTGGGATCCCCCCCACCCTAACAAATGCATTCTTAAACAAAATAAGTATGACTTTCACTAATTATGTCAGTTACCTGCTCTTCCCTATGCTCCGTTGTAAATAGCATGAAAACCTGAGGCTGTGTACTCCATTGCGTTATCAGCCTGCAGCTGGGAATAACCAGGTAGCTGCCTGTATCTGTCTAAATTGCTTTTGCCTCCCTGGCTCTTGAGTACATGAGTCTGATGATGGGTGACAGCCTGTTGGAAAGCACAAAGAACTACCGCATCTGCTTTCTGATGAAAAATGATTCTCCCTCAGGAGCAAAATCCATGGCAATGATTTCATCCTTGAGATTATTTAGAAGAAAAGGAAGCATGTTCCTTGAAAATGTTTCTTAGCAAACACATAAAAGAATGGCCTCTGGGTTATATTTAATCATTGCTGAGAAACAAGAGTTCTTTCCCTATTTGTTAGTTTCCTTTTGCGGGGAGACCTTTTTGAGCTGCACGGGTCCCTGTACAGAGTCATTTGTATGGCACAGGCTGGGCCATAGCCATTCGTGGTTTAGTCACGAGCAGGTATGTCAAGGGAGAGCTGTTAGGTGTCTCTTTCTAAAAGCCAGCCTGTCATTTCCAGGTTTTTGTTGTCATGGAGGGAGGGGGGAAATGTTGTAATCCTCAACAACCTGGCCACTGCATAGTGCATATTTATCTCCAAAGAGCAGATAAGAAAGTTCATGGACACAGTTACTTGAATCTTTTGTGCAGTTAGCAGCAGATCATGGCATTTGGGACATCCAGTGGTTACCCTGTTTTTGACTGTTTTGATAGTCCTTTAAAAAAAAATAAATATTGAGAGCATTGTGCCATTCTACATGTACATGCTGACATCGACTTATTGTTTGTGTTGCTGTTCAGGCATAAGAATGCTGGACGGCATTGTGACCGACGCAATTGAAGCCAGTTCAATTGGATTCAATCCTGGACATGTGGATATTTACAGTGCAAGCTGGGGCCCTAACGATGATGGGAAAACTGTGGAGGGGCCTGGCCGACTAGCCCAGAAGGCTTTTGAATATGGTGTGAAACAGGTGAGATGCTTAACACAGACTCACTTCAGATGAAACCAGACTATGTGGATACGCAGAGAAGGGAACAACATGCAGCTCACTTGGGAAGAAATAGTTGTGAATTTCTGGTAGTTGCTTATGATTTGAAGTGCATTTAGACAGCCAAATCCTTCTTCAGAGGGATGGAAGTTAAGGGTTAAGAGATTTTTTTCCCCATTTGGGTTTGACATTCAGTAGAGACTCATTACTCTTAAAACATATACTTAAAAATACTCTGGGTTATGTCCTTTCTCATTCTTTCAGCTTCTGAATTTTTACATTAGGTGAACAACTACCCAGACTTCTTTTAAGTGCTCTGAAAATATCACAGAGTGCAACCTCCCTCTCTGCACGTGCCTGGTGATACATGTGCCTTGGTTGTGTGGCTCTGTCCCTTGGGTGTATTGCATTCTTGCCAGGATTCTAAGGCCTTGTCCTGCACAGGATGAAACAAAAGTAGAAGCTCTGGAGAGCACAAATTGAAAAATCACAGAAAGAGTAGCCTTGACGAGTTCCATTCAATTGAAGTGTCCCTTTCAATGCAGCTGCAAAGCCGATCTGAATAATGCTAGATTTTGTCATTCTATTCGTCAACCAGAAGGTTCAAGTAGAAAGAAAGAGAGGAAGTTCAAAGATTAAATGTAGTGACATAAGCCAAGGCAAGAGTGAAAACATAGGAGCAAGTGCTAAGGGCTGGATTATGGATCTGCATAATAAAGAAAAGAAAGATGAGCACCAGCTCAGCCAGCCCCAGAGAGGGCCCAGACAGAGAACTCACAGGCAGACCAGAACCAGCCACCTAACAATAGGCAGTCTCCTGAGACTCCCAACATTGATGCTGGAGAACCTGGAGATGACACAGACCACAAATGACGGCCTCTGAGAACTTCATGCATGTATTTGTTGGGGATTTTATTGGGGTGTGACAGTGACCCCAACAGATAATAACAGATGTGATATATTTTGGTTTTTCTTTTAGGGGAGACAAGGAAAGGGTTCCATCTTCGTCTGGGCTTCTGGGAATGGGGGGCGTCAGGGAGACAACTGTGACTGTGATGGGTACACAGACAGCATCTACACCATCTCCATCAGCAGCGCCTCGCAGCAGGGCCTGTCCCCCTGGTACGCCGAGAAGTGCTCCTCCACGCTGGCCACCTCATACAGCAGCGGGGATTACACTGACCAGCGAATCGTACGTGGCTTTTGTCTCTGTCTGCCTAGATAGAAGAGCATGGCTTGCATAGCAAAGAATCCTTTGGTCAGTACCTTTGGTCAAATTGATTTGTTTGAGCTTGATGTCTCAGTTGGGGAGACTCATTCTTGACTCACTTGAAAGGCTGCCATATATCGGGAGGTTTTCTCTCTCGGGGATAATGACGCTTCTGCCAAGATGATGTTGCCTCTCGGTCATTTTTAAACTCAGCCCTGAGAAGCCACCAATCTGTCATATATACGGCTGAGACTCCGAATGTCTATTCGACTTGTGTGATGCCTCCCAAAAAGAGCCTTAAAGGAGATTTCAGGATTGTAGGGGCTTTATCATCCTGTACTCTTTGATCCTTTAATAACAGGGATATGGTCTGACTTGCCCTTTAGCAGATGATAAAAATACAGAGCATACACCAGCTAAGTCTCCTAAGAACAAATGACCTGCAGGAAAATAACAGTCTAAATTTCCCCTGAGGTGAACTTCTCAGCATCCGAATAAGCAGCTCAGGAAGGGTATACGCTCAGAGAGCATCTCCAGCCCACACGTGGCTGTGCCTTTGCTCCCATGAGTCAGACTGCCAAGGACAATTATTGGATTTCCCTTCAAGGGCACAGTGAGGAAGGGCCATTCAAGGGCTTTGAGAATAGAGAGGCACCTTTAATTAAAAAATTTAAAGACCCAAATTTAACTTCTAACATAGAAGAACCAACCAGCTAAAGTACGTATATTTAATCTCAGTGAAATAACAAGTCATTTAGGTTAGATCATGGGTTGAACCCCATAATTATTAGACCTTGAAATGTTTGTAAAATGCATATTAATAGCATTTCAACAAAACTGTCAGAACTACTGTCTTCATACAGGATCACTGTTCTGGAACTGCCTGTTTCTGTAACCTACTCTAATTTAGACAATAAGACTATGGTCGCAAGTTAAAAGCATTGGTCTCCCTCTCATGACCATATCTTCATTTACAGAAATAATAGTGATAGTCTACCTAGAGATTCTTTTTTTTTAGGATTTCTTAATTGAATTTTTAGAGAGAGAGGAAGGGAGAGAGAGAGAGAAACACCAATGTAAGAGTGAAACCTGGATCGGCTGCCTCCTGCACACCCCCTACTGGGGATCGAGCCCAAAACCCGGGCATGTGCCCTGACCAGAAATTGAACCAGTAACCTTTCGGTGCAGAGGACGATGCCTAACTGAACCACACTGGCCAGAGCTGCCCAGGGATTCTTTATGATGGGCATATGTTACAGCCTTTGAAGGAGCACATCAGACATGTTTCTTCTTGTGCTCAGAGCTCCTGGCTGTTGTCCCTGTGCATGTCCCGAGATGCTTTTGAGAAAATGGCCAGTTAGGCACTTCAGAGTCACCATTTTGTAGACCATTCCTCCTCTGAGCTGTTCTGCTCCGAAGTAGGAGGAAGAATTTCCATCTGTGTCAAGTCTCCTCTTTAGGTAAATCAGCCGTAGGAGAGACAGCTGGTGAATTCTATTTGAGACAGTGGCAGTAACATAGTCCTCCTCTTACGCAAACCTCTTCCCCAGCACAGTCATCTCTGGGGGCTTACTTGCGTCAACAGGTAAAAAGGGCAACCTTGCTTCTGTACCGTCTGAGGAGCAGGGCCACCGTAAGTTGAGAAATTCAGCCACTCCAAGTGGGAAGCCAAAGGAGGTGATAATAGAACAAATTATTTTTTTTACACCTCCCTCCCACACACTGAAATCTCTAGTTGAAAACCACAGTGCGGGAGTCTGGGTAGGTGTCCTGTTAGTAATCCTTTGGCCCAACAACTTGCTCAACCAGCAGTACTGTGGTCCTTAAGGCAAACTGATTGGAATTCTTTTTGGTTTCTTTCCTTCATCTTGGCAACCCATTCAATTAAGCTAAAATTAGGCTAGGTAATTCTCTATGTTCAATAATATTGTGTAAAAATGCTTTCACAGATAGGATCTCTTTTTGGCCTCAGAATATGAGTCAGGAAATGTCAACCTCATTTTACAGATGGGAAAACCAAGTGGCTTGCCCTTGGGACCCATGTACTGAACGGCAGTTTTAGAATTTGGGCCCAGATCTAAGTCTAGTATACTTTCTATTTGGAAAAACTTGCCATTTTCATCCATGTGCAAATGTGGACTCTGACTCATGGGCATCAAATTACAGCAACAGTGAGTGCAAACTACACACTAAAGAAACTTTGTACAAGTAGTTCAAGCAGCCAGAATCAGAATGGTTTTATGTTCTGTACTGAAGAAGCAGTCAAATGTCAATCTGAAGGCAAAAGGGAATTTTGCAGGGGGCAGAATTTCTAAATATGCCAGACCAAACACAATGGACCTAATGATTAATGGGCCAGTGTGATTCACAGTGACTTTGAAATAGTCCCTTTTTTACAGACAGCATTTTGTTTGGGAATCTCAGAGGAGAAAATATCCGCAGTGGGAGTACTTCATCCCCAGAAAAGGCATCCTGATGCCAGAATTATAGAAAAGTTGCATATAGAGGACAGAGAACTAAAATATCAGCAGATGGCAAGCATCCGTCTGTGGTTTAGAGGAGGAAGCAGGGAATTGAATCAGTTGAGTATCCTGATCATAGCAGATGTGGCCCTCGGTATGGTTAACCCCCAGGGACAGGATCACACTCCTCACATGTTCTCCTGTGTTTCTTTCCATCCTGATGCCACACAGACGAGCGCTGACCTGCACAATGACTGCACAGTGACCCACACGGGCACCTCGGCCTCGGCACCCCTGGCTGCTGGCATCTTCGCTCTGGCCCTGGAAGCAAAGTAAGACCCAGAAATCTTCTAATCACCATTACTAAGGCTGCTTCTCCTTCTTTTTAATAACATATTGTTTTCTGAATACATGGTTACACTAGAAAACTACAAAAAATAATAAAAATAAACTCTCTGCTTATTAACATCTCAATAAAGATTTAATATACACATATCTTACAAAACTGGGATCTTAACATATACATTATTCTGTAATTTTAAAAAATCCATCCTACAATATGTTACGAGCACTGTCTCACATCTAAATCAACGTTCCTTGACTTCAGAGCCTCACGCTGGCCCCCAGTTCTCCCTCAGCTGCACGGCCTTCTCACTTCCGCTGATTCCCACCAGGAAAGACTTGGTGCAGACAGTCTCGTGTGGGTAGTGCTGGAGTGACAGGTTTATAAAACATCTTGTTCCATATTATATAAGCCCGTTCTTAGAGCTGAAATAACATGTCAGAGGTCATGAGAATTAAAAACATAGTTTTTATCTTTTTGTAGTATTCTATTATATAAGTGCAGATTTTATTAAAGTTATCTAATCATGCTTAAACACCCATGTCCATAAATATTTGTTGTCATCTCTGATAATTTCCTCAAGATAAACACTCACAATGGGAATTTCTGGGTCAAAGGGAGTGCATGTTTCAATGATTTTGATATATATTGACAAGTTACTATTTAGAAAGACTATACAGCATTTTATATTTCCACCAGCATTATATGTGTGAAAGTGCCATTTTCCTAAACCCTTACTAAAGCTTTTATCTTTTAGTTTTTGCTATTTTGACACATGCAAATGGTATCTCATCTTCATACACTTTTATTGCATTACTAATGAAGCTGAATATTTTATATTCTTTGACCATTTATCATCTGTGATTGCTTGTTTATGGCCGTGATTTTGATTTATGGCCTTAGTTTAGAAAAGCTGTTAATGCTTTGTTAGTTTGATATTTACCTTTTAATTTTATTTGTATGTAATTTTTAATGTGATATACATGTAAGTTAACTTGTATACATTTTCCAGTTTTTTAAAGGATTTTTTCTTCATTTTTATACTCAGAAAAATATTTACAACCCCAAATTAGATAAACATTTATCTATATGTCTTTTATTATGATTCCTTTGCCATATTTAAGTCCTAAAGCCCATTGGAATTGATTTTAGTGTATGATGTTAAGAAGGCATTTAACAACGTTTTTCTTCATAATAATTACTTAGACTATTAATAATACTTAGACTATTGGAAAAGAAATCCAACTGTTTCACACTGCATATCCACAGATTTTTATTTGTCCTCATTTCTAGTTTCTAATGTTGTGTGGTGCGAAGTATTTAAATGTCAAGTCAGGTGCTGTGGTTGCATGACAGAGGAAGTGATTAAATTTGTAAATTACTATTATCTTTCTTAATAAGGATGTTCTAGAAGAACATTATTCTCTAGAGAGGACAAAGCAGTCCCCTCATGTCATGTTCAGTGGACGAGATTCACAGCAGCAGAAGAGAAGAACCTTGGCTCGTGCCACAGCTAGAAGAGCCCAGAAGTTGCTGAATCTTTGTCCAAGAGAATTCAGAGTAGCTCCAGGAGCCCCGGGGCCACCTGTGGAGTTAGGATTTAGTCTCTGGTATCTCAGCTATGAGATGGCCACAGTGGCTAAGCCAGGCCTAGCAAGGGTCATACCAAGAGTCTGCTTGGACAGGCTGGGAAGATGTCTGGTAAGGAAAGAATAAATCTGGGAAGAGCCAGTTGGAAACAGAGGAACACTTAAAACTCTTGGGCCCAATAGAAGAGCTTTGTTTAGAATCCGATTTCACTTGTAACAGGAAAGGGAAGGACAGAGGGCAAAGCCTACAAACACAAGCTGAGACTGGTATTAGCAAACCAAATTTGAGGAAAAATAATCCAAGCAGTGGAAAGAAAGTGCAAAGGACACCTGGCTTCAGTTTCTAGGCACATCACTAGCTGTGTGATCTCCAGTAAGTTAATCCCCATTCAGGACTCAACTGACCATCTATAAAATGGTCAGATCAGATGATTTTTCTCAAACCTCTTCCCTATATGAAATTCTCCAGTTTGAATTGGAAGGTATCAGCATATATAGATCATCCAACATGAATTGTTGAGGTTGATGCTGAGCAGTTCTGAGTGGAAAAAATAAGGTCCTCTGAAGGGAGGTGGTTACACACAGGTGGTAAAACAGACATAGTATTTATGATTTCAAGATCTAAACTGTGAGCTCCAGGGAGCTGTCAAAAGAAAACCATCCTTAAAATATTGCCTTCTCTACCTAACACCTATCAGATGCATGGAAATATAACGAGCCAGGCCTACCCCATCCTTGTCCAGTGATCAGTGTAATAGAAATACCCCACTCAGGTGAATAGATGTAATGTTAACTTTCCATAAAAACTGACATTTTAACATTGTAATCTCTGATTTCTAAAATTTCAAACTTTCTTTTTCTAAGGAGAAAATGATCTAAGAATGATTTAGCTTTATTAATCTCAGTTAATTTCTAACGGACTATTTATAACACAAGGCTTCCATCAAATACATGGATGAGTTTCCAGAGGTCCATGAGCTTTTGTGAAATGAGATGCAGAATTGTTTGTGAGTATATGTATGGCATTTTTCAGGGAAACGGTTTGTAGCTTCCATCAGATTCCTACACTGTTCACAATTTAAGAGACTTAAAGTCTATAATATTCCTGTTGCACATAAGAATTTAATCCCTTTTATTTTGATTCAATCATGAGTAAGATGGACATAATCTAGCTTAACATTATATACATTGTGCCAAAGTACATAGAGATTATTGAGATGCCTTTTCTCAAATGGATAGTTTTCTGAACTATATTAGTCTTATATACCAAGACAATTATTTCAGAAAATCTGAAAGCCCGAATTTCTAGAAGTGTCCCTAGACAATCAAGATTGGGAGACTCATTTAACTATGGGCTAATTCTGAAGGAACATCTATGGGGACTGAAGAAAAAACTCTGGGCTAAATTTATTGAGATTAATAACATCCAGTATTTATCAGGTTCTTGCCATGAACCAGACACTGTGCCAACCTCTTTATATATAACACTAATTCTAATCCTTACAACATCCTTGTCACATAGAAATTATTCATTTCATTTTATAAATGAAGAAACTGAGGCTTAGAGAGGTTGAGAAATGTAACAAAAATCCCACAAGAAGATTCAAACTGAGGTCTGTCTAACCCCAAAACCTGTGCTATCAGCAACTCCACTATGCTTCCTTCCATGGTCCGGATGGAGAGGAAATGTTGAATGGTAGCCTCTCAAACAAAGGGAGTTAATAAGATTGAGGTTGATAAAGGAACATCATAACTCTCATGTGTTTGAGTTCTTCAGAAAAGACTCCTTGTCACGAGCAAACTACTTACTGTGTTGCACTAAATATTACTTAGCTGGAGCACTGGGGAATGAGGAAAGGAGAGGAAAGGAGAAAGAATCATTTCTGGCTCAAATATGTATAGGGAGATTTTTTTCCCTAGAAAAGTGTTTCTCAAACATCAGGATACATAATAATCATCTTGGGAGTTTATGTAGTATGCAGACTCCCAGGTCTTATTACCATCAACTTAGGTTCAGAAGTTTCTGGTATTTGGCCCAGGAATCCCCATTTAAAAAAAAATTTTTTTTTCTTTCTTTATTGATTTCAGACACAGAGGAAAGGAGAGGGAAAGAGATAGAAACATTGATGAGAGAGAACATCGATTGGCTGCCTCCTGCATGCCCCCCGCCATCAGGCCCACAAACGGGCACGTGCCCTGACTGGGAATTGAACCAGCAAACTCTTGGTGCATAGGTCGATGATCACCCACTGAGCCACACTAGCCAGGCAAAGAATTCTCATTTTTAACAAATATCCTAGGCAGTTTGAATGCTAGTAGTTACTTTAACCACATTTTGAGAAATAATGCTATAAAGAGTAAATTTACAACTGTTGTTTTTCCTGCAACCTCATCTAGCTGTAATTGTGAAGGTACCCATTTGGGTATGTAATAGCCATTAAAAAGACAGGAATTCCTTGAATAAATGCCTATGGCACCATTATTATTATGTAGTGAGTATACATAAGAAAGATGGCAGACAATAACCTCAGTCTTCTGTGGAGAGAGCAAAAGAATCAGAATAATTTTTAATACAGAACACAAATTCTGTAGTGAAACATTGAATCCCTTGACATCTTCAGAGATATTAAATAAACAGATGAACCAATCTTCTGTTTTCATTAAAGACTAGACAAAGAAAACTAAACTTTTAATGCTGCATGAAACCTTTGGATAAATCACATCAAAGAAATCTTTGACTCAATGGATTATGAAAAGTTGGAAAGTCTCCAGGTTATAAAATCTTCAACATATTGGGCTTACCTAGATGTGAGTAGAGGCTAAACCAGGTAGCCCCTAAGACTGTTTCACTTTAGAATTTTGTTGCAGATTATTTTACCTACACTCTTCTAATTAGAAGCAATACTTAATTTCAGTGTTTAATTCCACAACCCTTTATTCTCTATAAACATATCCATGATTAGCAACCTAATGCAGCTCTGAAATTTTTAATTATTGTGGATGCTGTTGAGCACTAATTAACAAAGGGAGGCTGTCAGGAATGAGATGTACTATTATTAGCAGCTCCTTTTCATTTATGAAATGCAATCACACAAATGAAGAATAACCCTGTTAGGAATATGGGCTTAATTTTCTAAATTGCATGGCAATAAATCCCCCTTGAATATTTTGCAAAGAATAGGTAAAAGAAAATGTAAAAACAACAAAAAAATGCAACTAAATGTAAAACGAATGTTCTACTATGGAAATCTAGGAAGTCTATGCTTTGCGGTTGATTATCAAGACCCTGCCTTATGCCTCCTTAGCATACTTCCTCATCCCAACCTCCATACACCTGCTCACATTGATGGTCCAAATAGGAAAGTGATGGGTTGTCCATTGACCACCTTAATAAGAGGCTTTTTACCTAAACTCTCTTTACAAGATTAGAAGGTTGTAATAATTTCAATAAAATGCTTTATAGGGCAGAATTAATTACTACATTTAGAAAATGGCCATTTCTACTCAGCCAGTTAATTATTCCTGAATGTGGGTGGCCAGTGTGGAGACAAGATCATCAATGAGGTATTTACAATATTGGACAGATAGGAGGTTTGAATAGTAAGAATTCTGGAGATGATTATACTTATTCTTCTATTCTTATAAATGAGTCAACTCAGGACCAGGAGGATGAAGTGACTTGCTTAAGGTCACATAGGTCTTTGGTAGTAAAATATAGCTTAATATGCTTTTTATTATTCCCTATTTTGACCTCCATGATTTGAAATGACTTCTTTTCTTACTTATATGCTTGTATTCTTTCTTCCAACTCTTATTATTTTAGCTATAACATAGAACTGGTTATTTTTTAAGAAAATATGAATATAAAATCATGCTCTACCCTGATATTTTGATTCAGTAGGTTTAGGATGGGACTCAGGAATTTTCAATATTTACAAGTGTATCAGGTGACTGGTGCAAGCAATCTGGAATCCCTGAAAAATACTGCACTGGAGTCTTTCTAAAGCCTACACCGGTCACTCTCTGGGTAGTATGTTCGTCAGAGCTCAGCTGAGCTGAGAGAGAGCCTACTGAGCTGCTAGGCGTCAGAGTAGCCAATTAAAGCAATACACCAAAAATAAAAGACTTAAGCCTTTAATCGCTTACCACGACAGTATAAGCCAGAGTGTAAAAGGAGAGGAAACACTGACTCGCCTGGTCCATTTCCCCACAAGGAATGGTGCACCAGTCAAGGGTCAGGTGGAGCACCACATTCATGAGCATCTTCTCACTGTTGAGGGAGCCCCAACAAAAGGCTGTGGTATTTTTATGGACTCTGGGGAGGGGAGGGGGCTTGGAGGAAGGGTAGGAGTGGAGAAGTACTGGGGAAATTGTCTTCAAGGTTTCCTCCATTCCCCCCATAAGGAGGCCTGAGGCAGAGAAGAACTCTGCCCAAGGCCTCAGATAAGGAGACCTAAGAATGAAGGCATGAGGGGCTAGGAATGTAAATATGGGAAGAGCTTGACCAAGGAGGGGGACTGAGTCCTTGACTGCAACTTTCTAGAGAGACCGCAGTACAAGGGCTGTGCACCCAGGCTGGCATGGGGAGGGAGCTTCCCTGTGAGGCCTGCCAGGTGGCCTTTGCAATACCTACCGGAGAACAATTTAACCAATATATTATTGGCTTGAGGGAGAAAACAGAAAATTGAGCCTGAGGGTTGTTTTACAACCTAGTGATAAGATAAGAACCTCGAGGACTAAACACTGGGCCATTTATTTATTAAATAATGTTTGATTGGCTTAATAGAAACTGCAGGTCTCAAAGCGAAGGGAAAGCTTGAGATCTTAAAAGACTCTAACAACTAATAGCAATAAGTTTTAAAATTATACTTGGGGCTAGTTAACACGTAGTCACATTCAGTCATTCAACCAACCAGTATTTACTCAGCATATGCTCTGTGCCTAAAATTCTTGAGTGCTAGGTATACCTCAGAGAATAAGATTTATTAAAATGTCAGACCTTCTCATGGCTAATTCTAGCAGGTAGAAAGGTATTAATAACATACAAAACCAATGTATTGCCTGATATGTTAGAAGGTGATAATGCTATAAAAAGAAAAAAGTATAGCAGGATAAGAGCTCAGGAGCATGTGGGGAGAACTGAAATTTTCAATAGGGTGATGAGGAAAGGCTTCATCTTTGATAATAGATCCAACAATCCTGTGCATCTATGATTTATCTTTATATTGTTGCTAAATTAATTTTATCAAGACTTCCAGTTATACCATGTCCTTGCTCAAAATTTCTCAGTGATTCTCCATTGCCCAAATGATCAAGCATAAGCCCCTTTCCTGGCAGTCAAGGCCCTCACCAGCTCAGTACCCTTATCACATCTTCCTGCTCCAGCAAACCAGACTCCTCACTGTACTTGGGCCACATCCTGTACTTCCCCCCTCCTAGGTTTTGCTCCTTTGCCTCATGCTCTTTTCTCTCACTCCACTTCTTGACATTCTACCCACTTTTCAAAGTTCAGCTCAATGATTTCCTCCCATCAAAGCCTCCCTAGATTTTCCCATCTCAAAAGAATTCTCTCTCCTCTAAATTCCTACAGTACATTATACAATAAACATAGCATTCAACAGATATATTACAGTAATTAAAAAAAAAAAAACTTAGTTCTTCTACTAAATTGTAAGCTTCTTAAAAGCAAGAACCACCTCTTTGAATATCCCCATAGTATTAAGCATAATGCCTTACAAGAGTGATCTCAAGTAGCTAAGAGTTTCTTGGCACTTTGGGTAGATAAAGAAAAGAGATAAAAAGTATTTGAGTAGGTAGCCAGCCTATGTCTTTAAAATCTGATATATCCTAAAAAGCTTGAAACACCAATTAGAAGAATATATGCACCCCCTATGTTCATAGCAGCACTATTTACAATAGCTAAGATCTGAAAACAGTCCAAGTGCCCATCAGTAGATGAGTGGATAAAAAAGCTATAGTACATTTACACAATGGAGTACTTACTATGCAGCTGTAAAAAGAAAGATCTCTTACCCTTTGAGATTGAGACAGCCTGGAGGGACCTGGAAAGTACTATGCTAAGTGAAATAAGCCAAGTATAAATGTAGGACTTGGTTCATGATTTCTAATTAGTTCAATTTAACTGGAGCAAAAAATTAAAAATAACAGCACTTCCTTTGTGTCTTCCAGTTTGGCTTATTTCACTTAGCAAGTGAAAGACAAGTATCACATGATCTCATTTATTTATAGAATCTAATGAATAAAATAAGCTGACAAACAAAATAGATCCAGAGACATGGGAGTGGGAAATAGACTGACAAACCTCAGAGGGAAGGGGGGGTGAGGGGAACAGGAAGAGATAAAGCAAAGACCTTATATACACATATGCATAACTAATGGACACAGACCACAATGTGGTTAAGAGAGGAGGAGGAGGGTGTGTGTGTGTGTGTGGGGGTGAACAGGGACATCTGTAATACTTTCAATAATAAAAATAAATTTGAAAAAAATCTGAGTTCTTCTTAAGAAGGAAATCAAGGCCTTATCTGTAAGTTAAAAATGCTAAAATTGCCAAGGATGTTAATGGACAGCAGAAAACTGGAAGACACAAAGGAAGTGCTGTTATTTTTAATTTTTTGCTCCAGTTAAATTCAACTAATTAGAAATCATGAACCAAGTCCTACATTTATACAATGCTGAAGACAAAATTTTACTCATGGTAAGAGCTTAACTTATATGGCACGGGGAGTTTTCCATACTGTAGTTTGAATTCTGAATGAAAAGACACAAGAATAGTAATGCAAACTAGAATTACAGTAAGCATAGTTGCAAAAGGTACTAAATACTTTCTTAATAAAGATGCTTGTTTTTAGCACTTGCTTTTGCAAAGAAACTTTATTCTATCACTGAAAGATATTTTGGGTCACTTTCCATCCAGTCCAAATCTCACCTGGCGAGATATGCAGCACTTGGTTGTGTGGACCTCTGAATACGACCCACTGGCCAATAACCCTGGTTGGAAAAAAAATGGCGCAGGCTTGATGGTGAATAGTCGATTTGGATTCGGGCTGCTCAATGCCAAAGCTCTGGTGGACTTAGCTGACCCGAGAACCTGGGCCAGTGTGCCCGAGAAGAAGGAGTGTGTTGTAAAGGACAACGACTTTCAGCCCAGGTGAGTGTCTCAGGAATTTTGAACAAATGTGTGCATATGGCACTATTTGATATGATGTTGGTCACTTTGCCTACTTTTTTCTCACTTACCTTTCTGAATAGATGGGGGTAGTATTTGCCAGTGTTCCCTGAGGGTCCAGGGGGAATATTGAGATCAAAGATCTGTAAATCATATTAGCAAATTTGTATTTTCCTCTCATAGCCCATTTACCATCTAGCATTAAGTTTAAGGTGTACCATTGTTTTATAGAGCTCCAAGAATAATCATTGCTTATTAAACTCTTAGCAATGACCAGTTTTAAGATTTATCCCAAATTTAAAGATGATAAAATGTTTTTAAAAATTCTCCTTAGAAATGATGGAATACACTACTTGCCAACTAATATTATCCAAAACTCAGGAGCCTCACTTCATGCCACGGTCCTGTGTGATTCATGATTTTTCTTCCATGAAGGAACCTTTGTCATACCACTTTTACATCAACCACATCTGACCCACCATATCTGGCCCCAGAAGCAGAATCTGCTACGACTGTTTTGTTGATTCTATCATGACAACTATGGTTATATTGAAGACCCACTCACCTAAAATACCCAAGAGTGGGAAGCATGAAGGCCATGCATTAGGAAGATATAATTATTTCTTAAATTATTTTAGTAGCATCTATTGCAATAGACCGCTTTTTGATGGGTCCAAGGCAAACCTGCCTGAATTCAAATTCTACATTAGCGTTTTTCCAAAGTACTATTTTCTTTCTTTTTTTCTTTTTAATTGTGGTAAGAACACTTAACTGGGTTCTATATTCTGTTCCATTGGTCTATATGTCTGTTTTTTCCTACTACATACTGTTTTGATTACTGTAGCTTTTTTGATATATTTTGAAATCAGGAAGTATGATACCTCTAGCTTTGTTCTTCTTTCTCAGAATTGACTTGTTACTTGTGATCTTTTGTGCTTCCATAAAAACTGTAGAATTGCTGCCATTTGACCCAGTGATCCCACTTGTAGGAATATACCCTAAGAAGCCTGAAACACCAATCAGAAAGAATATATGTACCCCCATGTTCATAGCAACACTATTTACAATAGCTAAGATCTGGAAACAGCCCAAATGTCCATCAGTAGACGAATGGATAAAAAAACTCTGGTACATATACACAATGGAGTACTATGCAGCTGTAAGAAAGAAAGATCTCTTATCCTTTGAGATAACATGGAGGGACCTGGAAAGTATTATCCTAAGCAAAACAAGCCAAACAGAGAAAGACAAGTATCATATGATCTCACTTATTTGTGGAATATAATGAACATAACGGTCTGAGGAATGGGGTAGTCCCAGAGATGTGGAAGTGGGGTACAGACTGACAATCCCCAGAAGAGAGGGTGGTGGGGGAGAGATAAACCACAGAACTTATATGCCTGTATGCATGAACAATGGACATGGACAACAAAGCTGGGGGCAGGGTGGAGAAGGAAGGGGAGGGGGGTATCAGTGGGGAAAAAGGAGAAACATCTGTAACAAAAATAAATTAATTAAAAAATAAAATAAAACAAACAAACCGACAAAAAAACTGTAGAATTGGTTTTTCTATTCTTATAAAAACCTTACAATTTTCTGTTCATTAAAATTCATTTATAGCTGATCTTGAATTGGGCCCTACTCATATTAGGGAGAGACGAAAAGCTTAGTTGAATATCTAGTCAAGACTGATGTGTACATATTTGCATAAAATGCAAGGAAAAAGAGATGCACTTTATTCAGTGATGATTCCTCAATATATGCAGAGCCCTGAAAGCTAATGGAGAAGTTATCATTGAAATTCCAACAAGAGCGTGTGAAGGACAGGAAAATGCTATCAAGTCCCTGGAACATGTACAGTTTGAAGCAACAATTGAATATTCCCGAAGAGGAGACCTTCATGTCACACTCACTTCTGCTGCTGGTAAATTTTTTTGAACTTTAAAAATTTCTTTTAAACCATTTGTTTAAATTTTTAACTGTGAGCCCAATTATTTCAAATCAATGAATTTTTATTTCTTTATAGAACAAAGTCTCCTAATAGATTTTTTTCAGGTCTTAAACAATATACTTCTTCTTTTTTTTTTTAACATCAGAATTCTGCCCTGCTCATTCTCATGGGTCCTTCAATAAGCAAAGAATGAGGTCTATTCAAATAATAACTTCCATTAATAAGCTTGTCTGGAATTTAATTAATACCTTAATACACATTTTCAAATTATGTTCATTTTCCAGGTCAGTGATCTATCATTCTTTTCTCTCAGGAACATATTAGCTATAATTACTCTGATAATTAATAAAGCTGACAGGTACATCAGACACATCCAAGGAATAAATTGAAAAACTGAGAATTTTGATCCATGAAAGAAGGTTGAGAAGACTAACAACAAACTTTTCATAATGATATAATTAAGGCTATATGATATGATGTATGGACATTTGCTCTTTCCTGAGAGGGTACCAATTCCAATGAGATCTTGGATGGAAAAGAGTTTGTGAACACAAACCATGATCCAACCAAGAGAAGCTGTCCCAACACTCTTTCATGTTGTAGTAGGATTCAAGTTCTGACTAAATCCAATGTCTGTAGGTGATGTGTGAGGACAGATGAGCTATCTCTACAATGTCCTTCCAAAATATGAACTTCTTAGAGGTTTGGAGTAGGTTCTGTTAATTTTGGAGTTATACTTTCTAGATTTCTTGGAATTGGCCTAAAGTATTAGTGGAATGCTATTTCACTGATGGCTCTATAGTTCATTTGACCCTTTTACTTAGAAATATTATTTATTAATCTATAGAAAGCTTGAATTTAAAAATTTAGAGTTACTCTTACTACTAGTTTTATATGATGAGAGATTATTAAATTAATATAGCTTCATTTTTTATGTGTATAAAAGATTATAGACTCAGGAACCTATTAAATTCTCAAAAATTTATCTTAAATTTCCGAATAATAGTTCCATTAAAATGTATTTTAGGTCATTGACTTTCATCTTTAATGTAGTTTATAAATATAGTTCTTTGAGGTCTCCTTATTAAAATAAACCTTAATATATTCTTTATTTCTATTTCCACAGTATGTATTGAGAACTTATATGTCAGATAATGTGCAAAGAACTGTAGATAAAAACTTTTTTTTCTTTTTCTTGTGAATGTCTCTATCCTGGTCTTATACTCAAAGGGAACCATGGGAGGGTTAATCTCTGCCAGCTTTTTCAGTTATCAGATGCTACAGTGTGTGTCCTATCAGAGCTGTTAGGACACTTATTAACTTGTGTTTGTTGTATGAAAATAGGAACCAACACCGTTCTGTTGGCTGAAAGAGAGCGGGATACATCTCCTAATGGCTTTAAAAATTGGGACTTCATGTCTGTTCACACGTGGGGAGAGAATCCCATAGGCACCTGGACTTTGCGAATTACAGACATGGTAAGTAAGAAGGAAAGGCTATGGAAGCACATGCTTCCTTTTAAGTACATCGAAGGAGTGTGAAGGTTGGTGCCATCACTAATAAGGGTCCTAAGGAACTTTGATCACTCTTGAGTTGAAGTAATAAAAAGATGTAGTGTTTCAAACCCTGCCCACTTGGCTACATAGACTTAAAGAAAGAAAAAAAGAAAGAAAAAAGAGTAGGCACTGGCCATAGAAGGGAGAGAAGATATTCTGATATGCAATGTAGCAGACTGTGGGACAAATCCAAGTGTTCTATTATCAGAACATAGCCAGCCACATGTTCTACTTACCAGAATGAGCTGTGCTCCCAAACATTGTTAAGTGCTCCACCAGCTTTGCTTATAACACTCCGCTGGAGGCACATGAAGGAGCTATTACAAATATTTACTGCAGCGACCATTTAGATGTAGCTTATTTATTAATTAGACATCTTATTTAATATGACTTTGTTTCATTTTGCTTCACTTAGAAACAAACAAAAAAGCATTTCTTTCACTCTGTTTACTAACACTCTTAGATATCTCTCTATAATTATAACATACAGTCACAAAAATAAAGCAAGGAGTGTCCGAGCAAAAAGCCAAATTATTTATACAGCTGAATTATACGGTTGAGTTATTTATTTTTGCCTCATTTCTCCAACATTTTCTATAGGTGAGCATATAAATAATGTTTTGGTCTGAGTTCTCCTGAAAGAGATGTGTTATGAGTATCAGCAGCACCAGATCTCATACCTAAATAACTTTTTTTTAAAAAAAAAAAGAATTTTAAATTCCTGAAGGTGTCAATTAAAGTAGTACAGATTCTGTAGTTATAACTTTTCCCTCTAAGAATAGCTTTCTCCTAAAGACAGCTAAAATTGTATTTTGGAAATGGGAGCTGTAAAAAATCCTGCTCTCATAGGGAGAATAAGGAAATGTTCTTAGCAGGTGGTCCTGTCCTCTACGCTTTAACTCAGTTTTACCATCAGAAAACTAAGAAAATCTGTTTACCAAGATAAGTCTGCAAAATTTGACTACACTTTTAAATACTTTTTAAGATATTTTGGATTTAAGCACATTATTTTTAATAGTTTTTGAGCCTCTGAAAAGTATTACTCTTCCCATAAATGTACAGTTTTTATGGGTTAATTAATGCTGAAGGCTATTTGTAATGCTTGATAGAGGCTGACTTTTTCCTCCAATGGAATGTTTCTACAAGTTGATAATTGGTAAATATAATTCTATTTATAGAAGGTACAGACAACTTTTCAAGAACACACCCCATGTACAGGTTAATATAGAGAGTTCTGCATGTTTAATTAAATGAAGCAATTAATCATTTTTTATTTTATTTATTTATTTTTAATATATTTTTATTGATTTTTAGAGAGAGGGGAAGGGAGAAAGGGATAGAAACATGGATGTGAGAGAGAACCATCTATCAGCTTCCTCCTTCATGCCCCCTACTGGGGATTGAGCCTGCAACCTGGGCATGTGCCCTGACTGGGAATAGAACCGGTAACCTTTTGGTGCATGGGTCAATGCTCAACCATTGAGCCACACTGGCCAGGTGCAATTAATCGTTTTTTAAATCCTTGAGCCTATAACCTGCAATTTTCATAGCAAGAGTGAATTCAGTGGTTTGTTTCTTTTATTATCTTAAAATTTTTTTTTTCTTTTTTCTTATTGGGGTGATACTGGTTAATTAAATAGTATAGGTTTCAGGTGTACAATTCTATAATACATCATGTGCACATTGCATCGTGTGTTCACCACCCCAAGTCAAGTGTTCCTCCATCAACATGTATCCCCCACCAGTGATGTATTTCTTTTTACACAGAGCTCTACCCATGGACTGCACAGAATTTTAAAATTAGATTTTAACTATGAAATTCCTTCTGGAAACTTTGAGGGTGCTTGCTTTATGTTACTCAGAACACACACTAAAATTATATATGCTTATTCATTAGTCTGGAAGAATACAAAACGAAGGAAGAATTGTGAACTGGAAGCTGATTTTGCACGGGACCTCTTCTCAGCCGGAGCACATGAAACAGCCTCGTGTATACACGTCCTACAACACTGTGCAGAACGACAGAAGAGGGGTGGAGAAGATGGTGGACTCAGGGGAGGTCTGTGCGGCCCTGTTCTTCTTGGCATGCTCTCTTTTTGAACTGTAAAGTGACAATGTAGTGAGTGAAGCTGCCCCTCACTTTTAGGTGGGGAGTCAAACATGGGTAAGGAAGAAAAGGAGGGGGAGTGGTAAACTTTTATTTTCCATAGGATGAAACCCTATTGTCTTCATTTATTCTTTCATTTGGAATTTAGACATTTAAATTAATGAATTCAAAATTATTAAATTCCCAAATGTGAATTTTACTTCACTTATCAAAATGGAGACCAGTAAGATGATACATATATCATCTTAATTCAGTCTTCAAATCCATCAGACGTGGAGGTATTCTTACTCCTGTTTTACAAGTGAAGTTGAGGAGATTAAAAGGTGCCAAGGGTGTGTCAGTAAGTGGAAAGTGGAGGACTGAAAACGGAGTCAGTGTAACTCGAAGGCGGGTGTTCTCTGCTCCCCAGCTGCCTCTCAAGGGGCACGCAGTGGGCATGGGCTGCAGCTGGCCTGCCTGGCCCTAAATAACGAGCCTTCTTCATGTTGTGCTGGTTTCTGTGTTTCAGGAACAGCCCACAGGAGAGAACCCCCTGACGGCAAAAAGCCTGAGCAGCGTGGGAATCAGACGAGATGAGCTGGCGGAGGGAGATCCGTCCGAGGTCATGCTGCGACTCCTACAAAGCGCTTTCAGCAAAAACTCACCGCCAAAGCGATCACCAAAGAAGGCCCCAAGTGCAAGGCCCAGCATCCTTTATGAAAATTTCTGCCTAGCCCCGGAAAAGCCGACTAACCCTTCCCACCTTAAAGTCGCTGAGGACAGTCAGTATAGCGACTATGTGGATGCTTTCTACAGCACCAAACCTCACAAGCACCGAGACGACCTGCTGCTGCAAGCTCTCGTGGACATTCTGAGGGAGGAAAACTAAATCAGCCTGTGATTCTGAGTTGGAAATATTCATGCTTCTTCCTTACCCTCAGATTTTGCCTGTGTCTGAAGTGGTTGTTTTTGTCATTGATTCTTACGCTTATAAGATCCTTTGTGATACTTTTTCTCCTCAAACTTGAAAGGGGTGAGCTCAAACAGTAAATCCCACCTCCTGAACGGATCACAGCTCTTTCAGAACATCTCTTCCCTGCGCAAGTACAGTGTTTGTTCTTTTCTAGAGCCACAGTTCCCACGTGGTCCTCAAACCACATTAGAATGCCTCCTTGGGCCCTCCCATTTCATGTCTCAAAAGGAAAGTCATAACCTGGGCAATAGACCTAATTTGAAAAGTAATCTGCAAAGAATGGGAGGAAGGAAATCTGTTCTGATAGCTTGTCTTCTGTCTTTGCCCCATGGCTCTTTGAATTTTGTTGCCAGAGAAGGCTTTGGAAAGTCTCTGATGAAAGAGTTCCCAATTAGACCTCTACCCTATCTTTTCTATTCCAAAGTACTACTTATTCAGGGAGTGACTATCTGGTCATTTGGGCGGAAAGCTGGGTTATTTAGCTCCATAAACACACCTCAGAATCTGCATTATCTGGTTTGAGCAGTCTTATGTCATTCTTTGCCTGGTGTGCCACGTAAGAGTCCTGAGTGGATCTAAGGTGACTGAAATCATGCTGTGTGCTCTGGTTTTCCTCTGTTTCCCCTTCCGAAGGTTTTCCTCCCGTGTCTTAGCCACAGTCTAAATACTAAGAGAACTAATTTCTTAGAACAAACTTACACTTGGGACTTCTGCAGATTCCAAGTCATAATTTTTTTTGTTGTGGTTAGCAATAATAACAGAAAACCACTCATAACACAGAACCAATATACAGCAGGAAAATATTCATAAGGGGAGAGCCAATGAGAGGCTTTATTTATTTTTTCAATTTTATTCATTAGAACAGGATTTTCTGAATCTTTAAAACTGAGCGCTCATTCCTGGACACCAGTGACTCTTCCCCAACCATACAGCTGATGATAACCAAATTCTCACCAAATTGCTTCCAAGCTTCGACTCCCAGGACACGAGCTGGCAGCCCACAGGCCACATTTGTCACTCAGGTAGCGTTTGTTTGGCATGTAATATGGTTTAAAATGTGAGTGACTATTGAAAATATGAGATTTCATGTAAAACCTGATTCTCAGACCCATCTTCCCTCATGGCGACAGTTGTCTGGAGCCAAGTAGCAATTGTCCAGCTAGACATGAATGCCAGGCCCCCAAGGCTGTCTGCTGCCTGTTGCTTGCGGCAGCTGCCTCATGGGAGCACCCCAGGGGCATTTTATTTGGCCTACTCTTGCACTAAATGAACATGTTCAAAGTGTAAATACATTAGGAAAAAATATCTTCAACTTCTTTCAGGCAGGGTCTGTATGATAATTGAGAATTTCCCATGACGTAATTAAATTATTATCCCCAAAATGATGTTTTAGACTCCTAAAAGTACCTCTGATATCTAGTTTGACATGTTCATTTAATCTCACCTCCCCTGGATGTCCATTTATACTAATTCATTAACTGCCAGCCCATTAGTTCCCATCTCTGTACGCTCACAAAGGCTCTAGTCACCTACCATGGCGTTCTCCCAGTGGGTTCACCACCTGCAGTTCTTCCAGGGAGTTTGGACTTTATCAGGCTACCCAGGAACTGGACCAGGAAGAGAGCACCAGAGTCTGTCACTTGCTTTGGTTTGAAGTATGATTAGTAAGAAAATCTCACCCCCTATTCTACCATAAGAATTGTGCAGAATAAAGATATTTCCAGAGCAACACCCATGAAGCTTTGAGGAGGTTCTCCTGAAAGAATCATAGTATCGCTCTATTCTTGAAGTTTCACATACTGTTTGATATGGAGTGTTAGACAGAATTTTGAAAATTGCAACACATCAAAATGTATTAAAATAAAAAAGAACCAGGGAGTTGTGAGATAAATTTTCAGCTAAAAAACAAAGCTAAGGCCCAGAAAGGACAATAAACAGTAATAAACAAAAACATATCCTTTCCCCGTTCCTAGCCTAGAACGAATTGTATGAAGCTTTCTTTTTCAGCCTTCTAACAGTCTTTTCCTGATTAAAACTCCAGTCAACTCATTGGATTGTAGCCAAAGGTTCACTTTAGAGAAGCTTTACTATTTAAATAAAGTCATGTTTGAATGTTTCCAACCTGGGGTATATTGTTCAGACAAAAAATATTTTTGTCAGTCTTTCTTAGTGCCTGTGTGAATTTTTGTGAAAATGTAAAAGAAAAAACATATAATATTTCCCTCAAAATTTTAAGCTATATTTTCTTTACAGGTATTTATAATGTAGCAATGGTTTTATCAAACAGAATTTTAAAAGGCATAATAAATTATATTAAAGAACCAAAATTTTCCTGAGAATAAGAAAGTTTCATCTAATAAAATATTTTTTGAAAGGCATGTTCCTCTGTCAGTAAAAAATAAAGTGTAATATGTATGTGTTGTGATATTAAAAGCGACCTTTGTCTATAGTCTAGCACAATGTGTAGCTGAGTAACTTGTGTGATCCTAGTTAAGGAAACTCCCACAGTATACACTTGATGTATTAATCAGAATGTGTAAAATATGCTTATAAATCAGAAGAATAAATGATTTCTCACTAAGTCAAAAAGAAAAAAAGCTCATGTTTCCAACAAAAATAGGATCTCCTCTTATTGTTTCCCAAAGGAACTGTAAGTAAAAGGAAAGTTGAAAGTGTACATTAAGAAGTTAATTCCTTTATAGGAAAATGGGCTTTCTTACAGGCAATTTAAGAATTACTTGAATAGGTATATTTTACTTTTCTTTACAGCTCAGTCTTTCACTTCTTGACAACATAAAAAGGCGTATGACTGAGCCTTAACTGAAGTGTTGGGGTGGGGGGAGCAAATCTAAAGGGACTTACTACATGTGAGAGAAATGATTTGCAAGAGTTTATTAAACACGACTGTTTCTAGGCCAGGTTGTAGCAGGCTAAGCATTAAATTCTTCCCAGAAGTCCCCTCATCAGAAGCCCCCAGTTCCCAACTCTGATACCCTGCCCTCTGGCCCACTTTTCTCTCTTGCTTCAGACCTTCATCCCTCGACCTCCCACCCGCCATTTCTGAATCTGGCCTTCCTACCTCGGGTGGGTGGTTTTCCTGCAGACTCCATTCCTTTCTCCCAAGTCATAATTATTCAGTCACACTAAAATATTTTACTCAAGCCCTGGCCAGTTTGGCTCAGCGGTTAGAGCGTCGGCCTGTGGTCCGGAGAGACCCGGGTTCAGTTCCCACTAAGGGCATGGTTGCAGTTTGTCCCCAGCCCTGGTTGGTCGTGTGGGTGGCAGCCACTCGATGTGTCCCTTCATGTCGATGTTTCTCTCTCTCTCTCTCCCTCCCACTCTATCTGTACAAAAATTGGAAAAATATCCTCGGATGAGGATTAAAAAAAAAAAAAAAAAAAATTTTACTCAAGAATCCCAGAAAGACTTCTAATCAGCTTTGTCCTCCACATACAGCCGTCTTCAAAGTCTTCCCACCAGAAGGATCCAAGATACACCTGTTTTCCTCTGAAGCCTGTTTGTAACAATTGGATTAACTGTGTGCAAGCTGGGAGTATAGACACAAACACACATATGTCCCAAGGATATACATGAATTCTTTTTGATATTTTGTTCAGATAGAGTGGGAGGGAGAGAGAGAGAGAAACATCGACGTGAAAGAGGACACATCGAGTGGTCGCCACTCACACGACCCAATCAGGGCCGGGGACAAACTACAACCGAGGCACACGCCCTTAGCAGGAACCGAACCCAGGTCTCTCCGGACCACAGGCCGACGCTCTAACCGCTGAGCCAAACCAGCCAGGGCCACATGAATTCTTAAATACAAATTTAAACCCATAAAGAAGAGTAATGTTTTCTAACTGCCTCATGATTTGCAAGGTTACAGCACTAATACACGGTAACGATGATTATTCTCTCCACCCTCCCTGCCCCCGTGGACAGTGTGTACTTTCTTGACTGTGTGATTTGCTCTGGTCAGTGGAATATTAGTGGATATAATGCAAGCAAGGGCCTTAAAGGTGCCTGCACAGTTTGTTTCGGGTCTTGCTTTCAGTGACCCAGTGCTGTGACAAGAGCATGGCTCAGGGAACTAGCCTCATCAGCCTGTTTCCAGAACACCTGTATACGTAGCATATCCACGTTCTGGAACCAAACCCAGCCAATTTCCAGTATGAAACAGAGGTGTCCAGATAAGAGCAGCCCAAATAAGCTGAATTTGTTGTCTTGGCAACTTGTGAGAATTAGAATAAATGCATGTTGTAAACAACCGAGTTTTGGAGTAGTGTGTTACATAGCCTTACAATGTCAATGAAACTCACCAATAACTCATTGCTCACTAATAACAGAGAAGTTCCATTTTTTTATTCCATCAATAGTATCCCTTTTAAATTGTGCCTTGTTGAACCTAGAATACAAAAAGAAAAGAAAAAAGAAAAAGGAACCAGTAATTAACCATATGTCACTTAATGCCGATCCCATAGTTAAACAAAGACCCTGCCTAAGCTGTGAAATTTTTATTTTTAAAGATCTGGCTTAGCTTAGTTCCTCCTATAAGCAGAGCCTCAGATAATGAATGACGTGTGTACAGGTAGTTTATTTAGGAGGTAATGGCAGAGAACAGAAGAGAGTCACATATACCCATGACTATTATGGAATAGCATTGGTCAGCACAGGATTTAACAAAGACTAGAACAGATATTTCACTTAATAATAAGATTGGGAGCCCTGGCCGGTTTGGCTCAGCGGTTAGAGTGTCGGCCTGTGGTCCAGAGAGACTCGGGTTCGGTTCTCGCTAAAGGCACGTACCTCGGTTGCAGTTTATCCCTGGACCTGGTTGGGTCGTGTGGGTTGCAACCACTCAATCTGTCCCTTTCATATCGATGTTTCTCTCTTTTCCTCCCATTCTATCTGAACAAAAAATAGAAAAATGTCCTCAGGTTAGGATATAAAAAAAGATTGGTAGAAAATAACTCAGAACAGACATGCTTCCCTCACTCCCCCATCCACCCATCCAATGCCTTGATACTTCTATTAGCCTCTCTCAGAAGTCAGATGTAACCCTGGGGTAAGGGAAGAAAACTTACTGGCTGATAGCAAGTGCACAATACTTATTAGAAAGGCAACTTTTAATAGAAACAAAGTTCTGTCACACACAAAAAAAGTGACTTTTGCTCACCTGGGTTTTGGCTTACAATTTGTGCATGTGTATTGCTTGTATGTTGTTACATATAGATATTATATAAACATTGCTCTATCATCAATGTATGGACAAGGAGGTGATTATAGTCATTGCAAACTGCTTCTTGGATAGTGTAAATTTTGAACTAAAAATGTTATTGAGGCTTTGTAATGAAAGAGAAATGTATGAGTTATTTTAAGTCCTCCTGTCAGAGGGAACCAGAATGCTGAAAGCCCACTTGGGAGATCTTATCCATCCCAACAGAGCTCGCACAGTGGATTAAACCCATCTTGTTTATCTGAACACCT